TGTTGKTRSYACCACCACCACTCCTTGGCTAATGGTGTAGTATACTCCTTCTTGTCTTCATTGGGGGGCATTTTTTTGTGTTGTTCAGCCATTTCTTTCAATGACAAGAACAACACATGAATGTGGACATGATAAGTGGAACCATGATATCATACTGCTACCATCTCTTTAATTCTTCAGATGATCATCATGATTGCTGGGCAGGAGATACTACTACTCCTTTGATTCCTGTTGTTCTTGTTCTTGTTCTTGTTGTCCTCGGGTCAACAACAACGGCGACAACAACAACAACGGCGACAACAACAACAACGGCAACAACGACAACAACGGCGACAACGACAACAACGGCGACAACGACAACAATGGCGACAACGACAACAACGGCGACAACAATTTCGACAACAACAACAACAACAACATTATAAATTTCATAATATAATTGTGGTATTACTACTTGACTACTAGTAGGCCCCAAATCACCATCCTCCTAGTACTACTAGCAGTAGTAGTTCAGTTTGAAGAATCATCTAGCAGCAGTATTCTTCACTGCCAGTCCATTCTGTTCTTGTTGTTGTTTCGTCTGTCCTTCAGCTACGGTACGTGACGGGCAAAACGCTATGACCCTCCGACGTTATGAAGCTATGGTAGTCTTACAGCAAACCGTAGGGTAAGGTTCTGTACCGAGCGTCTAGGAGAGTCTCCCGTCTCCCGTTCAAAACAAAAAATACGGTAATCATTGACCCCCAACAAAATCATTGTCAGTGATCATAGACGATCAGACAGCTCGAAGCAAGGACTCGTACACCAACAGAACAAAAGCAAAGCAAAGCAACGCAACGCATAGCAAAGCAAACCCAACACGACACAACGATGTCGAGCACGAGAGCGGCGGTAGCCCTCCTGGCGCTGGCGTTCTGCGCCGGGGGCGTGGACGCCATCTACAAGGACGACGCCGGGGTCCTGGACTTTTCCGTCGCCACGGCGGGGCACGGCGCCATCGGGTGGGCCCGGACGGCCGGCAGCGGAGACCACGAGAAGGCGATCCTCCTGACCACGGACCTTGCGGCCGTTTCTTCGCAGGGAACCTCCTGCTACGTGGCCGGCCGGAGCACCCAGAGCGGGGGCCTCCTCTGGCGCCGGAACGTCTGCTCCGTTCCGAATGCCGGGGCGCAGGCCCACGCGGTGGCGATGGGGAGCGGGGAGGAATCCGTTTTCTACACGGTCGACCACACCGGGGTGGCCCGGGCGTGGAAGGCGGCCAACGGAGACCTCTTGTGGGACGCCAAGGTCGTCCCGGGCGCCAGGCCAAGGATCTTTGCGCCGGACGGCCTTGGATACGTGGCGGTCGCYTCCGGGACGAACGAGCTCGTTCTGCTCGACGCCGGCACCGGAAGCCTCGTGGACACCATTGACACCGGGGGATCCGGCCCCCGAGACGGACAGGTCCTGGAATNAGCTTACCATCAAACCAGACATTCCTACCAGTATCAAATCTGGGCCTTGCTGTTGCACATAGGAACATCACCTTCTTGATATGCTGCTTTGACGGTGTCTTGCCAACTGGTTCAAGCTCTTCATCAAGTAAATATGTGTTGCTTGTAACTTCCTTCATGAAGAACCATTTCTCATCAACATGTATTTTGTCATACATTGGGTCAAAGACGCCGTTGTGATCAATATGAGACAGAGCAAATCGAATCCTTTCCATCTTGTTTGCTTCTTTTAGGAAAGGCTTCAAAGTGCAGCTGTATCTCTTGATTGCTCCACGTTTAACAAAATGGTGCAGGCTGGTGATTGGAATGTTGATTGCCGCGGATAAGGTCCTTAGATCTCCTCTTTGCTTGTACGGAACACTTCTGATTGATTCAAGAAGAGCTGCAAAGTCCCTTGGCTTCCTACCACACTTGGACTTGTTGCTGGACACATCACCGGCTGGGCATGTATCATCATCCCGAGTTTCTTTGTATCGTTTCCAAATTTTTGCACAAGTCCTAGGAGAAACTTTGAATGCAACAGCAGCATTCTTGTAGGCACCCTTAGCAAGTTTGCCGTTCTGTTTCTGATGTGGAAGCAGTCTGTGTAGAATAGCTTGTCTTTGATTGTTAGTCAACTCACAACTTTTTGGAGGAGGAGTAACAGCCGCAGGAGGAGGGAGCAGCTCAGTTGGTTCAAGGAGATCCATTGCAAGATCTATTGCTTCTGTTCCTGTAGCCATCTTGGTGTGTGTTTGCTTTAGAAAAGAGCAGCGTTCAATAAAGTGAGTGGATGAAAGCATGAAAAAAAACAGCAAAACAGGCAACGACTCGCAGCAGGTTGATTGTCGTTGTCGGTTCCCCCCCTCTACGGAAACGCAGACCGGTCGATGGATCCCCTCTCAGTGGAAGCAACCGAGGCAGGAGAAGTGCCGGAGAGTCAATGGATCCCCTCTTAGTGGGAGCGAGGCGAGGCGAGGCGCTCAGTGGAGGCGCCTAGTGGAAGCAACGGAGGCGCGATTCCCTCTTAGTGGGACCAATGCAAACGCGGACCGGTCGATGGATCCCCTCTCAGTGGAAGCAAACGAGGCGGGAGAAGTGCCGGCAAGGCACCATTCCCTCTTAGTGGAACCAATGCTGGAGACGCGAGCAGAATTCCCCCCTCTTAGTGGGACCAATGCGGGAGACGCGAGCCGAGGAGGAGTGGAAGCAACGATTTGGTCTTCCCCCCTCTTAGTGGAGGTGCGTTGGCTCAACGCGTTGGCGAGTCGACGAGTCACTTGAGGTGCAAAAGAAGCCGGTCTTAGTTGAGGTTTGTAGTGGAGGCGCGTAGTGGATGCGCCTAGGCTCAACGTCGATGAGTCACTTGAGGTGCAAAGAAACCGGTCTTGTTAGTTGAGGTTCAAAGAAGCCTCCTTCTTGAAGCCGCAAGGCGAGTCGCTTCCCCCCTCTTAGTGGAAGCAACGGAGACGCGGTCTTCCCCCCCTCAGTGGAGGTGCAAAAGTGGAGGCGCGTAGTGGAGTCGCTTACTAGTGGAGGCGCGTAGTGGAGGCGCGTATTGGAGGCTCAACGTCGATGAGTCACATGAGGTGCAAAGAAGGAAGAAGGGGGGGTCTTAGTCAGTTGAATGGAAAGAGTGAAGTGACAGAAGGGCGTCAAAAAGAGGAAATTGGGAGGTGTAGTGAAATCAAGAGTGAAATTTATCATGTGAAAATAACACGGGGAGCATTTTTGGACCATGCGCAGAGCACTTTTTTTTCTCTTCGCATTGGTTCTCCAGCTCAAAATTGAAAAAAAAACAGAAAACAGCACGTGCTACGAACAAGTGCCCGAGCAATATTTGGGTTCTCTTTTGACCAACTAAGACTGCACAAGAACATTCTCAATGAGTACGATAAGTATATCATGTTAAAGCTCTCAGTCTGGGCTTTTCAAATAAACCGGTCCCGTCTAATAGGGACCAGTAGAACCCTTTCAACCGGGAAAATCACATTTATATGCCAAAAAGGGCCCTCTTTAAGTAGCTATTGCAAATACGTCGGACAGATTAAAGATATTTTATCTTCATGACTGTATAACAATGTAATAGATCTGTTTAGTGCAAAAATAAGCATTCCAATAGCCCAAATATTGAGCTTATTCCAACCAGAGAGGTGCAAACTGTACCAGTATTTTGGAACGGAGGTAGTACTTGCTAATATTATAAATTTCATAATATAATTGTGGTATTACTACTTGACTACTAGGCCCCAAATCACCATCCTCCTAGTACTACTACTAGTAGTAGTGCAGTTTGAAGAATCATCTAGCAGCAGTATTCTTCACTGCCAGTCCATTCTGTTCTTGTTGTTGTTTCGTCTGTCCTTCAGCTACGGTACGTGACGGGCAAAACGCTATGACCCTCCGACGTTATGAAGCTATGGTAGTCTTACAGCAAACCGTAGGGTACGGTTCTGTACCGAGCGTCTAGGAGAGTCTCCCGTCTCCCGTTCAAAACAAAAAATACGGTAATCATTGACCCCCAACAAAATCATTGTCAGTGATCATAGACGATCAGACAGCTCGAAGCAAGGACTCGTACACCAACAGAACAAAAGCAAAGCAAAGCAACGCAACGCATAGCAAAGCAAACCCAACACGACACAACGATGYCGAGCACGAGAGCGGCGGTAGCCCTCCTGGCGCTGGCGTTCTGCGCCGGGGGCGTGGACGCCATCTACAAGGACGACGCCGGGGTCCTGGACTTTTCCGTCGCCACGGCGGGTCACGGCGCCATCGGGTGGGCCCGGACGGCCGGCAGCGGAGACCACGAGAAGGCGATCCTCCTGACCACGGACCTTGCGGCCGTTTCTTCGCAGGGAACCTCCTGCTACGTGGCCGGCCGGAGCACCCAGAGCGGGGGCCTCCTCTGGCGCCGGAACGTCTGCTCCGTTCCGAATGCCGGGGCGCAGGCCCACGCGGTGGCGATGGGGAGCGGGGAGGAATCCGTTTTCTACACGGTCGACCACACCGGGGTGGCCCGGGCGTGGAAGGCGGCCAACGGAGACCTCTTGTGGGACGCCAAGGTCGTCCCGGGCGCCAGGCCAAGGATCTTTGCGCCGGACGGCCTTGGATACGTGGCGGTCGCYTCCGGGACGAACGAGCTCGTTCTGCTCGACGCCGGCACCGGAAGCCTCGTGGACACCATTGACACCGGGGGATCCGGCCCCCGAGACGGACAGGTCCTGGAATGGTTGTCGGTGGAAGCAGCAACAGCAACARCTTCGGCCTCCTCCTCGCTCTCCGTGGCCTTTGCCAGGGTGCAAGCGTCGGACGGAAGCTTCCAGGGAAGCGACTTTTACACCGGAACCTACCAGGTGGGCAGCGGCGGATCCCTCAAGGTGGGTGCCGGAACCCTCAAGGGGTCCTCCAAAAACCTTTTGGCCGATACGGTTCGGATCTCCGGCGACGACGTCTGGGCGGTGACGGCCGACGGTGCAATCGTGCACAACCACRAGGTTTCCATGGCCTCGGAGTGGAGAGGCGATTGGGACCGCGTGGTCGGGGTAGAGCCCACCGGGGATCCCCTGGTCGTCTCGGTATCCGGAAGCGCCTCCGCCGGTGCCGAGTCCACCATGGACCTCTTTCGATACGACGCCGGGTCGTCCTCGTGGAAACAAGTCTCAAGCAGCGATGGCGTGGGTTCTTCCGCAGCGGCTCTGTGCCCCGTCGCCGGATTGGTCGTCGAAACACCGCTCGACCGATCGGTGCGGGCCTACGAATCCGCTTCGGGCAAGGTCCTGGCCGCAACCGGGGACGTCTTTGGTGCCGACGGCGATTCGGTGGCCGTCGTTTCGGTTCTGGAGGAGTCCGCGGGAGGGGCCACCGTCCTCATCGGAACCGAGCGGGGAACCACGACCGTCTTCTCGGTGACCAAAGCCGCTTCCGGGGATTCTGTGGCCGTGAGCGTCCTCTGGACCGCCGAGGAGGGTCTCTCGAGCCTCTCCTCGGCCATCATCCTGGATGCCAGCCACCTGGGATCGGACGACCTGGTCGAGGAACAGGACAGCGTTGCCTACAGGCTTTCTCTGGCCGGCCGCCTCAAGGCCCAGTGGCAGGACGTCGAAGCCATGCTTTTCCGAAGAAGCGGCACTTCCGCCGCCAGCGGAGGATTCCAGTACCGCGACCACCTGTTTGGATTCCTCAAGGTGTCGGCGCTCTTGTCCCCCAAGGCCCACCGGCTCTGGGGGATGCGCACCTGGGGAGAGGGCAGCGGGAGCGACGAGGACGCCCGCGGGTCGATCCTCTGGTCCCTCGACCTGCCCAAGAACGCCTTGTGGCACAGCATGGTCCACGGGACGACCAACGCGGCCCGGGCCGCCCACGGGATCCACGGGGACACCCACAGCCGCGAAATCCTGRTCCTCTCGGCCTCGGCCGACAAGATCGACTGGATGTGCATCGACGGGACCAGCGGTGCCGTCAACGCGCAGGACTCGGTCCCCGTCCGGGCACCCGTCCTCCAGGTCCTGCCGGTCTACGGCTCGGCCGGCAGCGGCGGCTGCCGCCAGGCTGCCCTGCTCCTCGGGGACGACATGAGCCTCACCGCGGTTCCGGGGGATGCTCAGACCAGGGCACTGGTCCAGAGCCACCTCCACAAGACCCCCAACGGGCTCTACACGCACAAGATCGACCGGGTCGCCAACAAGGTCGAATCCTTCCGGGTGTCGTCCGCTCTGGAGGAAGGCTTTGTCGCGCAGCCCGTGGGGCTGACCTCCTTCGGGGGGGAACAGATCGCCGAGGTGGCCTATCCCCTCCGCCACGAGGACATGCAGTCGATGAGCACCATCCTCGGAGACAACTCGCTGCTGCTCAAGTACATCAACCCCCACATGGTCGTCGTGGTCACCATGCTGTCGGAGGCCGAACAGCAGTCGACGACGGACGTCGCCAGGGCCCTTTCCGAGTCGAGCTCGAAACCCCGCAAGCCCGCCGGCGCGGCGGCCCCCGGATCGTCGTCCACCGCAACTTCCCCGCAGCCCCTCCCGAACATGTTCGTGAACCTGGTCGATACGGTCTCGGGCCGCGTCCTGTACCGGCACGGCCACTCGGGCGTGGACCCGGGCAAGAAGGTCTCGGTGGTTGTTTCCGAGAACTGGGTCGTCTACTCGTACGTCAGCGAAAAGACGCGGCGGACCGAGATCGGCGTGCTGACCCTCCACGAGGGCATGATCGAGCCCAAGGGCCTCACGTACTTTTCCCGCCCCGAGCAGTCCTCCTCCTTTTCCAGCTTTGACGCCCGTGAGTCCAAGCCGGTCGTCCTTTCCAAGGTATACGCCTTTCCCAAGACGGTCACGGCCCTTGGGGTCACCCGGACGAGACAGGGGATCAGCCGACAGAACATTCTGGTCGCCGCCTCGGACGGCTCCCTCAGCACCATCAACAAGATGATGCTCGAGACGAGGCGCCCCGTAGGAGAGGCCAAGCCGGAGGAGAAGAAGGAGGGACTGGTGCCCTACCAGGAGTTGATCCCAGCGACCCCCCTGTTCTCGCTCAACTACAACCAAACGATGGAGCCCTTCACCTCGATCGTGTCCTCGACGACCTCGCTGGAGTCCCAGTCCCTGGTCTTTGGGTTCGGCGGGCCCGACCTGTTCTTTACCMGGACCTCCCCCACCAAGGGCTTCGACCTGCTGCCCGAGACCTTCAACAAGGTGCTGGTGGCGGCCACCACGGTGGGGATCGTTGCCGCGCTGCTCACCGTGCAGCGAATGGGACAGAGAAAGGCGCTCAAGCAGAGCTGGGCGTAGCTTTCGACGGCGGGTTTGGTAGACATTGTGGTAGCAACMGGACAGCCAAACGCATCAACACGTTTGCGATGTACTAAAGGATATTCGTTATCAAAACTAGCAAACACGAAACCAAACACAGCGGCAATKCATTTTACTCTAGTGCTTCTTCCAACTATGACATTGTTGTTTGCGCGAAACTCCTGGGCAAGATTCGAGGATGCATTGCATTTCCTAGCAGTGGATATTTTTGCAAGCGCGACCAAAGTACTGTAGTCGTCGTTGGTGYGAGAAAGATGAGCTACAAAGGTTTTATTATAGTGTCTCATTAGCATATGCGTAACGAAGTGATAATGCACTGGGCTCTGTTCSCACATATCCACGAGATCCAACGCATCCTCTTTAGTCTTCCTTTTCCTTCTCGTSGTGGTTGCCGTGGTGGAATTCCAGCCCGAGGTAGTCCCCCAGCGTCGGCTCCATGATGAGCTCCGCGGCGTGGTCCACCGCCGGAACGATGGGAATGACGGACAGGAGGGCCAGTCCCACCGGAAAGAACGGGCGGGCCCCCACCGGAATCTTCTTGGCGTACGAGTGGTGCTCCATCGAGTGCTCGGCGGCGTGGACGATCTTGTGGATGATCACCGCCGGGACGACCAGGCTGGCCGGAACGTGAAAGGCCGTCCAATAGGCCGCCGTCTCCCACTTCTTGTCCCCGGGCGCGTCCCAGGTGCGGGTGGTAATGTCCGCCCCGATGGCCGCCCCCGAGAGGCCCCAGGCCCCGTAGTACATCCACCGGGGCATCATGGCGTTCCCGGCGACGGCCCCCTCGCTGGCAAAGGCCAGGGGACGGTTGCTCCCGATGGACCGGACGGCCTGGGTGGACGCCTGCTTCAGGACGGGGAGCTTGGCCCGGGCCGCCGCGGCGATGCCCCGAAAGATTCCACCGGCGGAGTGCGCTTGTTCTTCCGAGATCTCCATCTCCATCAAGCCCTTCGTCAGGCGTTTGGCGATGCTGACATCGACCTCGATCAGAGGTCTCTCTCCACCGCTTTCGTCCTTCTCTCCTTGCTGGAGGGTCGCCCCCTGCTTTTGCGGTCGATCGTTTGCCGCCACCATGGTTGATGGATCGTCGCAATCGTACCGTGCGCAGCTACGATGGGAGTAGGTTGGTTGGTGGGTTGTGTTGCGTTGCGTTGCGTTTTTTGCGTTGTACGTACGTACGGTAAGGAGAACAAGAAGTCCTCGGTTTCGTTGCGAGGTTTTCGAAAGAGAGAATTTCTGGGAAAACACAACGGAGAGCTTTTCTGAAACGGATCTCTCGAGGTATGTAAATATATATCCTTAGTATATCAATAAGGTATGTACATAGTTTTGTTGTCGTTGCACGCACGTCGAAGCTTAGGCTACTTGTACGTAGCACGTACGAGTACTAAGAGCGTGAGGGTACAAGTACGTACGTACGTAAGATACTATGACATGCTCTCTCAACGTTCTTCGGATTTTGTTTGAATGACATCCAAAAAGATATCTTCCTTTCTCCACCATGGGTTGCACTGCAGTGCYAATCTAATAACTAATAATATTGGATTGCCTTGCGACAACGAGTTAGGTAATCGTCCGAAGACGTCCAACGACTCTAGAATCCAAACGCAACTCGTATTCCCTGCCGGCATTGCTTCGAGCCACAGAGGGATACACACCCATACTACTGTATTTCCACAGCASTTCGTGATGAAACCATTTCTACGGCGCCCCGCATCGCTGCTCACCGTCGCGTTGCTGTGCTTGGAATCGGCCACGTCCTTTCTTTCCGGCTCGCTGCGGACACATCAGCAGCCCCGACACTTGGTCTCGTGGTCTTTGCCGCCGGAATCTGCATACGAGTCCGATTTTTCGCGAGAGAAAGGGCAACCCCAACACGTCGTGGTCGTCGGTGGAGGGGTCGGGGGATTGGCGGTGGCCGCTCGAATCGCCGCCGCCAGCGGCGGGATCGACGGCACGCCGACCAGAATCACGGTGCTCGAGAAAAACCCGAAAGCAGGCGGGCGGGCCGGATCCTTCTGGGTAGATCCGGCCAACACCGGTGCTCGCAACGACGAGGACAACGGTGCTTCCACGGGCTTGTTTCGCCACGAAGAGGGCCCGAGCCTGTTGCTGCTCCCACAGGTCTACCGGGACGTCTTTGCCGACTGTACGGGGTCGGAAAAGACGGCGAGCGATTACGGGCTGGACATGGTCCAGTGCGTTCCCGCCTACCAGGTCGTCTTTGACGACGGGGATTCCATCCTGGTGGGATTTCCAGAGGGCTCGGGCGAGGGGAGCGAGCTGGAAGCCGCCTCCCGCGCAAAGATGGAAAGCTACGAAGCCGGCGGGGCCGAGAAATGGGACGACTATATGGCCATCACCGCGGCCTACCTGGACGCGGGACTACCGAACTTTATCGAGGAACGCATCGACCTGGGGTCCCTGCCGGAATTCCTGGTCCAGTCCCTCAAGGGCTTTGGCAGGGCGTGGCCCCTCAAGCCCCACTCCGACGTGCTGGACGAATTGTTCGAGTCGGACAAGCTCAGAGCGCTGGCTTCTTTTCAGGATCTCTACGTCGGCCTGGAACCCTACCGGAACCCCGGGGAGCTCGGGGGGGGCGTCCTCCGGTCCACGGCGCCGGCCGTCTTTGGCCTGCTGGCGGCCATCGAGCTGCACCCCTCGAACAAGAACGCCGGGGTCTTTGCGCCCCTGGGCGGCTTCCACTCCGTCGCGGGCGCCCTGGAGGGCCTCGCGAGAGACCTGGGAGTGGAAATCCGGTGCGACACCACCGTGCTAGGGGTGGCCAGCGACGGGGTCTGGACCAAGAGTTCCGGGAACGGCAGCGAACAGGAATTCGTTCCCGCCGACCTGGTGATTGTCAATGCCGACCTGCCCTATGCCAAAAAGTCTCTGCTCATGAACAACGATGCCMAGCCACAGCAGCAACCGACCGARGAGTCGGCGCCGCAACCACGAGAGCAACAGCTCGAGGAAAAATTCGATTGGGACGATGGCTTTTCCTTCAGCAGCGGGGTCATTTCCTTCTACTGGTCGCTGGACAAACCCCTCGACGATCTCAATACGCACAACGTTTTCCTTTCTACAAAGTCTCGCTCCCAGGCCGAGGCCAGCTGGCGGGTCTTGCGGGATCCGAGGGACGACTCGGGTAGCGAGGACGTTGACGCCCCCTTTAACTTTTACGTTCACCGCCCGAGCAAGTCCGATCCATCGGCCGCGCCCCCAGGCTGCGACACCATTATGGTGCTGGTCCCTTGTCGGACGCTCCTGCGGGACGACGAGTGCGCAGGACTGCCCAAACACGAGGCGATGGAGCGGTACGAGCAACAGTTCTCCCCCGAGGTCGTTTCGAAGGCCAGGGAGGCGGTCCTGAAACGATTCGCCGCRATGGAATCCCTCGGGGATCTGGAAGACCACATCGTCCACGAAGAATACAGGACACCGTCCACCTGGGCGGATCGGTACAACCTGGGGGCCGGGACCCCTTTTGCACTGGTGAGTTGTTGTTTGTTTGTGTCTTCCGTTTGTTCTCGTATGGTTCGGTTTGGTAGCTAGATCTCGTTTGCAAAGGTCTAATGAAGACACGTGAATCCATTGGTGTATTCATTATTGTGTTGTGTGCTTTTTATCTTGGTGTGTTGGAATGCACGGAACTCTCCGCTATTGGGCTTCCTTTCTTCCGTTTGGCACAGAGCCATGGATTCGCCCAGCTAAGCATCACAAGGCCGGGGCCAAAGTCCTCTGGGCTTCCAAACGTTTTGTACTGCGGTGCCAGCACCAGACCGGGAAACGGAGTCCCCTTGGTTCTGATCGGAACAAAACAAGTTGCGGAAAAGGCCGTTCAATCCTTGCGCAGCCCCGGGTGATGGGGTTGAAAGCTACCCACTGAAACAGTACTGACGACGAAGACGATTCTGCCTAAGTCTCTGTTTTCTACCGATGGTATCTTCCCGTGTSTTGGAAAGTATATTGTTGCCACCATTGGTTCCTTTCTACCCACCATGAACACGCGTATAGCAACGGACTTGAAGATATCAAAACCGGCTTRAGAATGAACAACGAGAAAATACGAAATTCAACACAATGCTGCTTTTCTTCTCGGAATTCCGAAACACCGAAGAAAAAAAACATAGCACATGCTATGATCGGATCTAGAGGAAAGAAAAGCAGGAGTCCATGAAAAATCTCGATCGCGGTAACATAACGGTTCGCTTCGACACACAGACTTTCTTTGACTTRAATTAAAGCTGTGTTTATAATACCGTTACTACAAACTTTATCCCCATTAGCTTTTCCCATTTCAGAATTGATTTGTTCTTCCCACGAATGACGCACATTTCTGCTTTCGCTGTCGAGTACCATATCAAACTTTTGGGTTCTATCCTTCTTGGAGCCGTCCCCTTACATGCCGCACCCGACGCGGTGCACGCGGTGCACGTTGCTCTCGCTCCTTTCTCTTTCTACTGTTTGAACTGTAGGGATCGTGAATCATTTGGTCCACATCCAGATTCAAGTTCGCGGACGCTCCTTGAACTCCATCGTCGTTTWGGAGTTGTGCCTCGTATTCTTCCTTGGCAGCAATGCCGGCTTCTCGCATCGCCTGGGCGTCRTCTTCCTCGTCGTTGCTGTACATCTTGCATTTGCCGCACGACGAATGATCGCAGTGGGGCGTGTTGCAAAAATGAGTGTACGGGTTGCTGAGTTTGTTGAGGGGCGTTCGACACACATAGCACATTTTCATGCCACAGGGACAGGTCATCTTGTTGCACCCATCGATTTTGATGAACTTCTTCTTGCATTTCGGACAGGTCCGCATCTTGGCTTCGCTGAGGGCCTCCTCGACCTTGAGACGCCCTGCATCTTGGCGGTCCTTTTCCTTGACTTCCTCGCATCTCAGAGGAATGTGCGAGGCCTTGCCGCATTTTCGGCATGAGACAAACCGGCATCCTTCGACCGGGCATTCGAAATTGTTTTGTGTGTCGGGCACCTCGGCTTGGTATCCACACTTGGGACACATCGCCAAGCTGTCTCCAAGTCCGGCCTGCTCGATCTGGGCCTTGGTTTGCATCTCCGAGTACTTCTCCCAGGTTTTGGACGAAAGAATTTTTTCCAAAACCTCGTCTCGAAAACCAGAGTTGCACCCACTTCCATCGCAGCACTTGATTTCCAAGGCAGGCTTTTTGGTGACCTTATCGACTCCCAGATTTCCGCAACTGAAGACTTGACTTTCGATGTATTGAACCATGCATTCTTTGCAAATAAGATGCTGAAAACAATAGGCATGCGAGGTAGAATCAGATGTTGCGAAGTTTAAAAAAATCTGTGAGAAAAATATCTAGCATGGCTTTGGATACTTAGTAGCTTTCGACGAGCGAACATTCGAAGCAAAGCACTCGAGTGCACTCTCTTGAATCAATCAGGCTTCTCTTTCACTCACCCCGTTTTCCTTGCACGAAACACATTCCGAAATGGCCACGTCGTCGAAGCAACACAAGCACTGCACAGCCGATCCGTCTTTCAGGGCCAATTCGTTGTTGGCCTGGCCCCTCATTCGGCCTTGAACCTTGTCCAACCACTCATTGAATCGTTTTTCGTAGTGAAAGTGTTCGTCCATCAGAACAGGATCCGTGATCGCTGGGCAGGAGACGCCAATCTTTTTCCGAGGCTTTTTCATAAGTTGCATTCGACCTCCAAAGCGGTCTCTGACATTCTCTGGAATGACGCCCCGTTTCAAAGCGCTTCGGAGGAGCCGATAGTTGTTGTCTTCTTCTTTTTCGATTCGCATCGCTGCCGCAGAACCTGCACCGGCCGCCGCCGGCGGATTTGGGCTTTTTCCAACCAATGTGTCTTGGATGAAGTTGCGGGTCAGGGTGTATCGCCCTTGATTTTCTGAGAGCAAGATTTTAATGGCTTTCTTCTGTAGAAAACAAAAATCAAAGAGTAGCAAATTCATACATTCTCCGTTGTACGTGGGGGTCAAATCAAACGAAGCAGCGGGAGAGGAGTAGTCGTGCTTCGGCTCCGTTGTTTTCTGTGCCCGGATGATGGTGTTGTTGACGTTAGGACCAGAAGTTGTATCCGACAAAGATCCATTCTTTTGTTTCGGATAWTCCCCTTCAGACATAACTGCCACGACGACTTCGATCTTGTTGCTCTGCTCCCTAAGTTTCTTTTCGACGTAGTCTATGTCTGCGTCCGGAAAAATTTCCATGATCCGAACGAGGGGCGATGGTGGATTTTGTGGTGGCGTGTTTGCTCTCGGCGGAGGCTTTCTTCGATCCTGTGATGTACGAATGGGCGGCCCTTCCAACACCACGACCTCCCCGTCTCGAATAGGCGATGGTTTGGGAGCTGAATTTCCAATGGCGGCGGGCTTTTTGTTTCCATCGTCGTCGTTGCTGTCGTCGTCGTCGTCCATTATCTCTATCGCATCGAATGCAGTTCCACCTGGTTCGAATATTTCGGGCCCCCGCAAAAGTGCGGCATGTCGTCCTCTGCTCCACATAGCGTTGATCGTCTTCGCCTGTAACCAACCTAGTGAACCTGCGAGATCTTACTGAATTTCAATCGCAGATAACATGGAATTATCGAAAGTTTTTGTTCCCCCAAACGCAACCTCAAGCCGATTCCTTGAGAATGGAGCTATTCTATTCCGACGAGCATGCCTTTCGCTCGATTCAGGATTGCGATTACTACAAGAAAGCCAGTTGCTGGCATACAGAATAATCGTGGCAACGCCGGTTGCTTGAGTAAGGGGAATTATCTAGGCGTGCTTTGTGTATTGTGCTTGCCGTATTCCTGGTACTCGTATGAGAGTACGAGTACCCTAAAAATGGAGAGTTCGAAACAAAACCCTTCAGTTGCGACAAAGCTTTTTCTTTTGAGAGTTCAGAGTTCAGCACGACCAACCACCGTGGTACGAAAATACGTACCGGTACAATAACGTACAACCATGCTTTTAAGTTAAAGCGCCAGCCGACAATTTTGACATGCGRTACAGAACGTAACAACACATGAGGACCGATTTCGAACGTCTTTTCGGACTTTCGAGAAGGCCGACATTTTTGAATTGGAAGATGAGACCAAAACGGGTGAAAATCAAGCTCTTGAAAGGAGCTTGAAAACACACTACAGTACAGTTTGTCCATTGTCCGTTTTCGGTGCGTAAAACAAGATCCTCGTCTGGTCGTACGGCACATATGTACGTACGTGCGTACGGACGCACGGCAACTGGAACTATCTTAGSCCTCTACGGAGCAGTTGCAGTTGCAGTCGTACCTCGTACGAAGCCTTGTTACAACATCAAAAAACCTTTCGAAAAGTAAACGTCATGAGTCAGAAAAACGATATTTTCCATCGACCATGGCGGTGTACAGGTATCTTTCGTCACTACAACTCGACTGTTGCCCTAACTAAAAAAATACCTCTCGATTTTAGATAAAATTCAGCGGAAGTCTTCCCAGGATCCAAAAGCACACTAGCAGCACCAATATTTGAACAAAAAATCTCAGGTTAGGTTTGTTGTCTAGTACACAAGGAGACGATGACGGGAATATGGAGATTGAACCTGCCGTTCGGGCTTCTTTTATCATTATGGTGCATGACTCTCCGTCCGTCGCAGGCCTTTCTTTCGACCAAGGGGCTGACCGAAAGGAAAATAAGCACACTGGACAAGAAAGAGAATCCGTCGTTCGGTAGCATCTACCGTTCCTCACCGCCTCTCAGGGTGTACAACGACGACGAAGAAAGGGAACAGATCGAAGAAGCCCGCCTCCGCATCTGGAACAACCGCAGGGGGGAGGTCCGTTCCATGCTCAAGGGTGCGGAGTCTCTCCGAAACTTTCGCCTGGCGAACGGATTCACCCCCGAGCTCGACGAGGACGGAAACCCCACCAAGGCCGACGGAAAAACCGCCGTGACGCTGACCGCCTTTGCCGTAGCGGCTGGGGCCATCGTCCTGAGGGTCGGCGGCCGGGCCGCCCTGGTCAGCGCGGTGGGCCTCGACTTTGTCAACGACAATCCCGAGATGCAGGAACAGATCAACCAGGTCCTGCAGTACGCCGAGAGCGTCGATCCGGTTCTCAAGACGGGATTGTTCTGGCTCGGATGGACCTTTGTTAAAACCCTGTGCTTCGACGCCGGCGGCATCGTCCTCGCCTTTGCCTCTGGAATACTGTTTGGTGGTGTCTTGCAGGGTGCGATCATGAGCGCACTGGGGGCCACCATCGGATCGTCGGTGGCGTTTGCATTGTAAGTGGGTCGGGCAGTTGTTTGACGTGGTGGTTCTGTCGCGTGTTGTGCCCGATGTCCGTGGCGTATGGGGGTTCGCATGCGAGCGTTTTTGTCAATTTCACTTGCTTACACGATTTTGTCTCGTTGATTGAAAGGGCAAAAGCCGACACACCGGTTCGCGAGAAGGCAATTGAAATCGTCGAAGAAAATCCGTCGCTTCGGGGGCTTGAAAAAGTGGTGGCCGACGAAGGCCTCAAGGCGGTTTTGACCTTTCGATTGGCTCCGGTCCTGCCGATTCCGCTGGGAATGTACAACTATGTATACGGAATCACCAACGTGAGGTTTGTGGATTTTGCCGGCGGAATCTTTTTGGGGTCGCTCAAGCCCTACTTTCTGGACAGCTACCTGGGATATGTTGGAAAATCGTTGGTGGACGGATCGGCCAGCGAGGGCGGTTTGCAGGACTATGTTTTGATCGGAGTTCTCGGTTTAAGCGTGTTGATCGGGGTCTTCGCCTCGCAGTTGGCCTCGGAAACATGGGAGGCCATCCAGAAAGAGGAAGAAGCGGAGGACCGGGAAAACAAGCTGAAGGAAACGGGCGGCGAAGACGAGGACGACGACGGCGTCACCACCGAGGTCTTTGGATTTGAGCTCCCCCAGTGGATGGTGGGTTTTCAGTACGGTCTCCAGGACGCCGATGAGCGCATGAATCGGCTGGTCCTCCAGGAATACGACGCAAAAGTCTGGAACTGCACCGAGGACTCGTCGTTTTTCGGAATCGAGGTCTCCAAGAAGAACCTCCCCGACAACAAGAACCCGGCGCTCGTCGACCCGGCCAGCCCCGAGATCACGGATCGGTACGAGGGAGTCGACTTTGGCGCAACCACCTGCGACGGCTTGGTCCTGAGCCCCATTTTGTTCTCKTACTTTTTGAAGATCCAGGATCCCCTCTTCGACGAACGGTCCCTCCGGGAGGAGGACTGGGACCGAGGGTCCGGAGCGACAGCGGAAACTACCGCAGCACAACCGCTGGCGTCCACGGACGCCCCACCGGTGGCACAGACCAGTGCCGTGGATGTGGCGGCGGAGGACGTGCGCAGCGGGAGCGGGCCGTCCCCGGAATTCGTCGAGGGGATCTTCCTGAACCAGTTGCAAGCGCTGAAGGACGAAACCCAGCAGCGCATCGACGAAACGAACCGAAAACTATCGGAAATGAGCGACGAGTGAGTGCGAGTGCGAAGATCGATCCGGCACCCTGCAATGACAAGATACTAGACAATACAAWGCACAATAGATCGCAGTGCCCGGTTTTGCGACAGAAAATTCGATTTTGTGTGCCAAACGAGTACCACGAAGTTACCAAAATACTGTAATGTGAACAGCCCATCCCAGTTGCTCGTTTCCACTTTCTCAAATAGCTGCAAGAAAACTATATAATCATAGTATATTACAATACATCGCTATGATGAAAGAGAATTTGGATTGGTGTGCTGAAAGAACACTGTAATACTCCTCTACTCTCCAAGTTAGACCCTCTATTGTTTTGAACCATACTAACGTACCTATATATGGTACGAATATAATGCACGAAGCACACGAAGTTCTTTCTTCCGACCGAATTCCAACAATCTTTGCGGTACATAACCGTAAGATAACGATTCTTAACCATCCCCGTCACGGGAACGAGAAAACGAASAAACGAACGCACTTTTTTGATTGATTCCGTTTTTCGTTGTTCGAAGTTCTCGATGTGTTGCAATCTTTGTTGCCACACGAAGGACCTGCACCAATCTATTCCCACGACCAGAACAGCAAAAGAGAGAAGAGAATTGTCCTCCCCGGTGTTCTTTTGCAAAAAAACATAGGCAGTCCTCCGAAAGAARCAAGAGAGATATTCCAATAAACGGGAACCAAAAGAAAGACARCCACGGCGAGATCCTCCCATTAAACCCGGTACAACCCCGAGAGTCGGTCCCGGTYCCAACCCAAGACGAACCCTCGAGTGGAACCGAGAYTTGTTCGCTTCTTCGGAKTKCTTTGAATCTAGACAAARAACTCTACCATGCCRTCGCCGTTCCGATCTCGGGGACGGTCCTTTGCCCTTGTCGCAGCATTTGTGTCGTCCTTCCGGAACAGCGATCCGATTCCCTTTATGAGCGTCCGGGCTGCGAGCCATACCAATGAAGAAGCAGAACCACCGAACCTTCCCCTCGGCGACATGAATGTCGTCGTCCTGACCGATGTTCATTCGTGGGTGGCCTCCCACCGACACCAAGAGCCCTACTACGATGCCGATCTGGGCGACGTCTTGTCCTTTTGGGAGCTTCTGAAGGAGCGCGTGGAGGGCGATCGGAACAAGGGCCGGGACATTTTCTTTGTCAACAACGGCGATTTCGTAGACGGCACCGGCCTAAGCCGGACGATCGACAGCCAGAACGATCCTTCGGCCCTCCTTCCCCTCCTCGAAAAAATGCCATACGACGCGGTGAACGTCGGGAACCACGAGCTCTACAGCAAGAGTACYATCGAGGCAATGACCCGGGCCGGTGGCTACGTCGATTGGTGGGGGGATCGGTACCTSACCTCGAACATCCACGCCGTGGAACCGAAACAGACGGGCGGCGCGAGTGAAAAACGACCCCTCGGGAACCRCTACAAGGTCCTYGTTGGATCCGGCGGGGGCAGGCTCCTCGCCTTTGGCTTTCTCTACAACATGGGAAACTACGCCCGCGGCGCCGGCATCGGGGTCGAACACGTCGAGTCCGTGGTGGCCGGGGCCTGGTTCCGGAAGGCCCTCGAAGAGGAGCGCTACGACGCCGTTCTGGTCCTGGCACACATGGACCTGGTCGATCCCCTGGTCGAGAAACTAAGGTCTGCCATCCGCGGGGTGATCGGGAACGAGACCCCCATCGTCTTTGTCACCGGACACACACACTACCGTGGKGTCAAGCAGCTCGACGAYCGGGCGGTGACCTTTGAGGCCGGCCGGTACATGGATACGGTGGGYTTTGTCTCGTTTCCACGGAAAGGGTCGGCCGAGGGCGGCAGTGCCTCGTCCCTCTTTCGGCACAGGTTTCTGGACACCAACCGGGGGGTTCTCTTCAATGAGACCCTCGGCCTCTCCCATCCCGGAGAATGGGCCACKAGCAACGGGGCCGAGCTCTCTTCCTTTGTCGATCGCACACGGAAGAAGCTGGGCCTCGAGCGAGAGATCGGCTGCGCTCCCCGCAGCTACTATCTGGAGAAGCCGGTGGACGATCCGGACTCGCTGTGGGGCCTCTACCGCGACGAGGTCGTCCCGGGGGTCTTTAGCGGGGATCCGGCCGCCACTGCCAGCGGAGAGGATCTCCCCGTGGCTATGCTGCTGTCCAGTGAATCCTGGAGGTACGACCTGTACAGCAACGCGACCCTCTGGGTCGACGATATCGTCGCCGTGGCACCCTTCAACGACACGGTCGTCCACCTCGGGACATTCGAGAGAGAAGTWATYCTGGGGGCCAACGCCACCCTCAACCAGCACCGAAACCAAGGRGGCGGCGGCGACTTCTCGTGGCACCCGGTTGTCCCGAGGTTCGTCCTGATCGGAAACCTGGACGGCAGCGAAAGCCCGGAGGGCGACGCCGCTSYTGCCACCAAATACCACCTCTACACCCACGAGTTCGGGGCGGAGACCGTCCGCAGGGCCGTGGAGAAGGCCGCCCCGCCGGACGAACCCGTGGAAATCCGAAGGACGGAACACACATCAACCCTGATCTGGCTGGCCTTTGTGAAGGAGTACTGGCCCTGCAACGGCAGCGAAGGCAGCGGTGCCGGAAAAATCCACCACCGCCACAAGCTCCCCCCCGCGRCGCACCCGGCAGCCGTCGCAATGGCGGCTGGCCACCGCGGAGAATATCCGGGCTGTGGCRCCGTGTTCGCCTGGGCRGGGGTCCTCTGCTGGATCTTGTCGGTCCTCTGGCGGATGCCGAAGAAGCACCCAGCCCACCGGACCCTTCCGGGAGCGGGGCGCGGCGGAAACAAGGACGGGCTGGGGGACCAGCTCCAGGACTCCTCTGAACACAAATCTCCCTCCCCGTGGTTCCCGTGAGACCGGCTCTCGCTTTTCTCGCTTGACTCGAAAAACAACAACAAGAGCAAGCACACTGCTACCGAAATGCCAATGCCTCGTGCATTATGCATCGTGCAGCGACGGGCGACAAGGAAATTTTCACGAGCGGTGTCCGGATAGCTCAGCATTCGTACCAGTAAATCCTACTAGCCACAAGTAATGTCCAGTGAGCCTGCTGGAAAAGAAAATGCTGGAATCATACAAACGCTGAAGTAACACCATCGGTTGGCCATTTGCTGGGGAAGCACAGCAAACGAATTCAAGAACAACAAGAAAAATAGAAAAAAACAACGACAAGAAGAATAACAACAGTAGAACTGTTAGTTATAGAAGTACTAGCTATAATTTTAGATTGATATTACTCTGATCGGTATTCATGGCATTTTCTTACATTTTCTTTAAGTTAAGTTATATGCACTAGTAGCAATGATGGAGTCGACTAACTTCATGATAAACCACATTCGGGGGAAGTTAGCATCAAAAGGGGAGATGCATTTCTGTTGGACAGAAAGATTATGAGTAGATCCTACGTACGTACTGCATCGTGGTGTTTCGGTCGTCGTCAGTAAGATTTTTCGATTCGATCTTTCGATCACTCAGTGTTTCATCCTTTTTCTACATCACAGCAAATTCGAACCACTGAATGTTGTGAATTGCCGTACCGTAGGACTTCCTTCCACCAAGGATCCAGGCAAACCGATTCCAGAATCTCTGCTATTGCACGGTAGGGCGGAGAAACACAAACCGCGATCGAGATGATGACGAACGCACCGACGATCTTCTGCATCGTCCAATGGATGCTTTCCCACACGCTGGCCGGAGCAAAATGGCTGCAAAACACCGGGAACTCCCATCGGAGGGGCGCCACCGCCTTTGTCGCACCCGGAAGAACCAACTCATCCCGCCGAAGCACGGGCAGAAAACCGCCGGCCACCGTGTCTTCCTCGGCGAAGGAAGCCGCTGCGGAGGGAGAAACGGCGGAAGCCATCCGCGGCCCCGTTCTTCTGCCGTCGCCCCCCTCGTCTCCCACYGCCTTCGATTCGGCCTGCGTCGCGAACCCTGTCGTCCTCCCACCGTCCTCAACCAGTACGGACAAGTGGCAGATGTACTACTACGGAAACCCCGGAAGCTGGGCCAACCACACAAAGGGATTCCTTCCCACCGGGTACGTCGGGCTCGCCGAGTCCACCGACGGGATCCACTGGGAAAAAATTCCCGGAACCGAGGAGCATGGCTCGGTCCTGGCCCCCACCGGCCGGGAGGAAGACTTTGACGGATTGCACCTGGGGGTGGGGGACGTCGTCCGCGTTGGCGACGATGGCGACAGCGAGCTCCACATGTACTACCTCGGGGGATCGTTCGAGGGGATTCCACTYGGGCCCCCGGGTGCGCCTCCCACGAGGGGCCTCCGGATGCGCATCGGGAGGGCCCGGTCGACCGACAACGGGAGGACGTGGGAGAGGACGGGGCAGGTCCTGGACTACGATCCCTCCGAGGGAGTGTTTGCGAGCTGGCCCCGYATCGTTCTCCCGGAAGGGGACGGCGACGACGATGGCACACCGTGGCGGATGCTCTACCACGCCTTCAATGGCACCCGGTGGGCGGTCTTCGAGGCGACCAGCAGCGACCAGGGAGAGACCTGGACGCGAGGAGACAGAGGCATGGCGCTGGGGCCGGACGATCCCAGCGGGTGGGACGGGGCCGGGGTYGGCACCCGGGCCGTRGTCCGAACCGCGGACGGAGAACTGGCCATGGTGTACGAAGCGGTCGACGGGGCGGGCGGGCCGTTCGGCGGACGCCACMGGTTCGGCCTGGCCCGCTGGGAGGAGGCCGGTGAAGGCAAGGGCGGCGGTGCCTGGGTCAAGGACACCGCCACCACCGGTGTACCGGGGGGACCGATCCTGGACGGCGGCGTCGACCCCCTGCCAGCGTGGACCTCCCACGTCATCGGCACTCCCTACCTGGTCGCCACGGAGGAAGGAGGGATCCGGCTGTACTACTGTTCCAAGAAAGACAACGACATGTCCATGAGCATCGGGCTCGTGGAATCGGCGAGCGGTGGCTTTGACCCGTCGTCCTGGAAAGCAGTATCTCCCTAGGAGCCGTAGTTTGCTTTTTGCCACGAACACAGTGTTTTGGTACCGGTGTTTGGGTACCGGGGGATTGGAAAAGAGCAATGGTGTGTGCCATCAACAAGACTTGTTGAAACCAAATACGATTCGCGAACCAAAAAATCTTCTTCTGTGTCATTTGTAGGTATCAACTTTTCTTCTACTAAACTTGTCGCAAATGGTTTCCGCAGGTATCGGGTATTGGCCGTGACTCTATTCCCTGTTGTCGGCTGGAATTCACCTTTGCCAGCTGCTCCCAAGCCGTCAAACTGCGGATTTCCACGTCGCAAGGTCACAGGCTTGTCACCTGCTGTGTATGTTTATTGTGTGTTCGGCGGTCCTCTGGAGCTCACTATACAAATATGAATCTGGATGCTTAAATCAAGAAGCAAAACATAATGGGTGGGTAGTATAGGTTCTTGCACACATTTAAAAGAATACATCTACAGACGAGCCATATTGGTTGTTTTCTAATYATTGTTTCATGCAGCAAAAAGCTAGCACCTCAAGACCTGTTGCAATTGCGCAACTCTGCAATGGTGAAAATTTATTTCAGATCCTACAGTATTACGTCTCGAAATATTATTGTGATTCTAATATATTCAGAAAATGACAGCACCGGGCATTGCTGTCAAATATGTCATGGTTTTCGTTGCTTCCTTTCGTTTGGTTTGGTCGATCTCCACATTGGAAGTACAAATCTCCTCACAGGCAGCACATCGTTGGGCTATTTCATTTCAACCTGAGGATTCCCGAGACGCCCTMGTTTTTAGTCACGCGGGAATGAACGAATCACTAATAAATCTCCCTACTTGCATACCAACCATCCACATTCTTCTGCACTGCACATTAGTACGGCACGGTTTGCCATCCACCTCAAACACATCGAAAACTTCGAAACCCGATCACGAAAAGAAAAACCAACRCAAGACAAAACGACGAAATAAGGTACGGCATTGTATCGTATCGCACCAAKAACGGCAAACGACAAACGAAGACACTCGGTGCAGTCGCCTTAACGCACAGCACAGCACATCGCAGTCACATCGCAGTCACATTCGTAAAGCGCTCCAAAAGATCCGATAGAAAAGAATGTCGAACGGGTCAGGCGGTGTTCAGTGTCATTATGACGTGCTTGGTTGCTCCCAAGACGCTGACACATCTGCGATTAAGAAATGCCACCGCAAGCTCGTCTTGAAATAWCATCCCGACAAAAATGCAGGCGACGAAGATGCCGCGGAGAAATTCATACTGGTTCAGAGGGCCTACGAAGTCTTGACTGGTAAGTTGTGTTGCTTGGAAAAGCATACCGGGCTTCTTGTGACGATGGACGTTGTCGAAATTGGTTCCGTCATTCGAGCAACGTGCTAATTTTTTTCGTCTACTCTACCAATTGTTTTTATAGATCCACAGGAGCGAAAATGGTACGATGACCATCGCGATGCGATTTTGGCGGGTTGGTCGGCTTCGGAAGCAGCAAATAGCAACACGGCGGATATTATGCTCTTCAACGTCGCTCCGTATATGCATCCGGGATGCTATTCTTCGTACACCGACAGCACGGGGGGATTCTATCAGGTTTATCKWGGCGTCTTTGAACATATTGTAGCATGTGAGAGGAAACAGTCGGAAACGATTGTGGAGCTTCCCACAACTTTCGGAAACAGCGAAACAAGCTGGTCGGAACTTTCGTTCTTTTACAAATCCTGGGAATGTTTTTCCTCGGCCCTGAATTTTGCATGGGAGGACACGTATAACGCGCGGGAAGATGCCCCTAGCCGTAGGGTACGAAGGCTGATGGAAGAAGAAAACAACAAAGCGAGACGAACCGCCAAAAAAGCGTACAAGAATGATATACTGCAACTCGTGGCGTTTGTAAAGAAGAGGGATCCCAGATATAAGGCGCACACCGAAGAACAGGAACGGCTGAAAAAAGAAAGAGAGGAGAGGCAAAAGCAAGAAAAGATCGACCGGAAGAAAGAACAGCAAAAAGCGAAGGAAGAATGGAGAGAAGCTTCCCTCCGTGAAATGGAGAAGGCGGAAGAAGAGGATCGGTTGAGAGGAAGGATTAGGCTAGCAGATTTAGAAGATGATTACGATTACGGAGGCGGAAAGAAAAAGAAGAGAGGGAAGAAGAAAAATAGAAAATCAATGATCAAGGAAGAAGAAAAAGAGGAAGAAGAAAAGAATGATATCGACGCCGATCAAGAAAAAGTAGAAGTGGACGAAGGGTCGAAGGGTGAGGAAAGCAACGAGAAAACAACAATAGATGAGGCGAATGCAGGAGACCAAATTGTTGATGACCAGGATCTACTTCAATATGACGAAGACAGTTTCTCCGAAAGTGAAAGTGAGAGCGAAGAAGAAGAACCTGAGGTGTTTAGATGTGACATTTGTAAGAAAGAATTCAAAAGCGAGGGTCAGCTAAAAAATCATTTGAAGAGCAAGAAACACAAGGAAGCAGTCAAAAAGTATCAGGCAAAGCTGAAGAGGAAGGAGGCAGAGATCATGGCAGAAATGATGAACGAAATGGATCTAGAAGATCAGTAGTGTAATGTAATSATATTAGCACACTATGCGAAGCAAATTGATCTGATCTTTATGCGCATAATATCTTTTTAAATAAAATTGGAAATGTGGCTCTCACCTGCCATAGTGTTAAAATATCACAGGCGGATGAAGCGTAATGCGACAATCCCATATACTGACAGACGTATGTATTACCCACCACATTTTAAACAATCATTAATTACGAACATTTTAAAAAATCGTTCTAGACTTTGGTCGTAACTTTTCTCTCCATATTTAGGGAATACTCATACAATGACACATGCTTCCATCGACACAATGTGAAGACGTGGTACGGTAGGTTCGCTCTTGGTGGGACCCAATTCAATGAGAGAAGAAGGAGAGCACAATAAAATGAATTTACTTATTTTGTATATATCAAATTAATTAGTTCTGAGATCGATGTCGAACTCTGACCTGATTATCATGATTTGCTCGATAGATACGATAGAACTGCCTAACCCTTTTTGTGGTTGTTGAGAAGATCGAATTCGAGATCTCTCTTCATGATCTTATCGACGTCCGCACTAATCTCTTTCTTCATTGGGTCCAATATCATGTCCGGGGCATAGTCCTGGAGCTCCTTTTGTTTGAAGGCCAAATCACTGGCTCGTTTCAATCGGCGGTATCGGCCTTCGACAACATCCGGGCTCGCCAATTCCAAGGCTTCGTTGACCTCTGGTTCGTCCCGACTCATCAAGTCCTCTGCCCGAAGTCCTGGAATGGGAGATATCGCAAAGAAGACGGGTGATTCATACCGTTGTTTGATTAAAATCAAGTATAAATGACATGCCAATCGAGTGTTTATGTTAGATTTTGTTCGAAGAGAAGGAAAATGCGAAGAAAATTTGAATCGATTTAGTCAGAGGACTTATTGCCTCGAGATATGCCAACAGATGTTGTTGTTGGCACTTCGAAGCACTCTTCATGCTTCCGCTCAGAGAACTCACCCATCTTATTCAATTCAGTGGCCAATACTCCCTGATAGGTTCGGGCGGCCCTTTTCATTAAAGGTTCGAGTGTTTTCGCTAACGCTGACATGGTGCTTTCATTAGTTGTTGATGAGTATCGATGGTATTTGCTGTCGTTGTTTCGGTGTTCAATTAACTCCTTCGTGTTGTTGATGTCTTTGTTCTCGATGAATACACGAAGAATGCGGAGCATCTGGTTGAATTTGAGGGATTTGTTCTTCCCTTCTGTTCCTCGTTAAGTTTTTAATCGCGCGATGTGCGCATAATTTACGACTACTTCGAATAAACAGACACCATTCAAGCTCTCGACATGAGAAGTATCTACGATTTGTTTTCGAGCATTTCCGAGACACCGTTTCCCCCCGTAGTCCACCTTTTCGATTAATGATGACAATGAATAAAAAAGTAGTACGTGTGAAGTACGAAGTAGAAGTACGAGTACGTAAATTTGATTTTGATCATATTACACAAAAAGTCTGAAAGAGGAAAGAATACCTTGTCAAACAATAGTATGCAATTCAGATAAAACCGAAATACTATTGCAATTCGTCATGTCAGCAGTTCCTCCTCCGCCCAATGGCCAAGTTTTGTCGTTGGTATCTGCTTTGTCTCAAACAGCAAACCACGACTTACACGTTCAGGCGATTCAAGCCAGAGATCTTGCGCTAAGTTCGTCCCCAGACAGCTATGGGAATCTATGCCTCCAATTAGCATACCTAATGAGTGGGAGTGATCAGCCCGAGACATTACTCCAACGCATTCCAGCTTCCGAACTTGAAATATGGCGCCAGACAGATCCGAACACAGTCTCACAAATCCAAGCGAACCCGAGCATGTGGGTACCCTTTGGACAAATGGCTGGTTTGATTCTGAAGAATGCCCTCCTGCGACCTCCGTCACCACAAGGAGGCACTGGAACGGCATCTCTACAAAGCGAAGTCGCAAAGCATTTCAAGGAAGTCATGTTGTACGGTCTTTCGCTTTCACACAAGGAATTACGAAATGTCATTTCGTCTCTGATTGCCGACTGTTCTGTCTCCCCAAATTGCATCCAACCTTTCCTGACGATCCAAAATTGGCCGGAATTGATGCCGGCTCTCCTTCACCATTTGAATCCTACAAACAATCCCAACGATCACGCTACCATTGGGTCATTACTGACAGTACAAAAAATGATGGAAGATGATCCCGATCAGATACCCACTCCAGATATCGATGCCCTGATTCCTCTGTTGCTGCAATTGTTCCAATCTCCAGACGAAACAAAGCGAGTTGGAAGCTTGAAAACCATAGTTGCATGTCTAAACTTTGGCCTAGTGCCGAGCTCACTGGTACTTCACTTTTCGACATATCTGGAGGGCCTCTCTGGTTTGGCCACCGATCCGAGCATGGAAGTTCGCAAATGGGTTTGTCGGTCGATAAATACGCTTTTGGAACAGCACGCACAATACATTCAACCACAGTGGGGATCGATTTGTCAGTTTATGTTGCAGTCCACTATTCAGCAACAAAACAGTTCTGATGGGCAAATTGAAGTCGCCACCGAAGCTTGCGAGTTTTGGTTGATATTTGGAACCTTAGATGAGATGCTCTTAACAACAGATATGCTCCAAATCGTGGAACAACTACTTCCTCAACTGATTCCAGTCCTGCTAAACAACATGGTCTATTCCAACGATCAAAGAATAGATCTCGAGGCACAAAATGAAATAGACATGGAAGAACAGACAAATGCAACCCAGGCTATGAAACCAGTGTTCCATAAAACGAAAAACAAGCACGAAAACGGTGGACAAAATGGCAATGGAAACGACGATGACGATGATGATGATGATGATGACTTCATGGATGATGATAACGAGTGGAACCTACGAAAGTATGCGGGCGCCTCACTAGATTGTTTGGCGAATTTGTACGGTGCCGGTCCAATACTACCGAACTTGTTGCCTTCGCTTGAAAGTGGCCTTAGCAGTGCGGATCCATGGGTACAGGAGGCCWGCATCCTGGCTCTCGGAGCAATTGCAGATGGTTGCCGCGAAGAAATGCAAGTGCACATGAGTAAACTTTTTCCGTATCTCATGCAACTGCTATCAACACCAGAAGCACCACAATATCTACCCCAAGTGAAGTGTATCTGCGCTTGGACTGCCAGTAGATATTCCGAATGGGTTGTCAATGAGTCACAAACTGGGTCAACTGGGCACCTACTAGCTCAGATGACCGAAGTTTTCCTCGGTAGATTACAGGACAAAAATCGAAAGGTTCAGGTTGCTTGCGGATCAGCATTGGGTGAACTGGTAGAAACTGCTGGAGATCTTATGGCACCATATTTGACAGAGATTTATCCTRTGCTTGTGGCTGCAATGTCGAGATATCAAGGCCGTAGTCTTGTGATCATTTTTGATACTCTAGGGATCATGGCGGAGTACTGTGGCCCAGAAATTGGCGAGAACAACTTGCCAAATGTTTATGTTCCACATCTGCTTAGAATCTGGAACGAGCTTTTGAGACAGGATCCAACAAATCGAATTACTTTGCCTCTCATGGAAACCATAGCATGCATATCTATTGGTTGTGGTGTGAATTATCAGCCCTTTGCTTTGGAAACGTTTGAGATATCAATGGCTGTCATCGAACAAATGCAATTGATGATGGCAACAGCAGATAGTCTTGCTTACGAAGACGCTGATCCAATGATATGCGCAACTGACATTCTGGATGCTTTGTGCGAGGCCTTGGGACCAAACTTTGCCTCTCTTGTTCTCAGTAGTACTCGCTACGGCCAGAACTTTATCAATGTTCTTCACGCGTTGTGTACTCACCAGCATATTGGAGTTCGAATGAGCGCCATGGCACTTATGGGTGACCTGGCTCGAAATGCACCATCGATGATTGAACCTGCTCTGCCTCAGCTTCTTCAAGATGCACTCAGCAATCTCGACTCTATTGTTGACGATATGTCTGGCAATCTGCACACCAATGCAGTATGGGCAATTGGTGAGATTTGCGTGAAATGTGGGGGTAATTCTGGCCCTCTCGAGCCTTATGCACCTGCACTAATGCAACACTTGATTTCCATTTTGATGGGCAACGGATCTGGAAGAGTATCATCAATTCTTGGTCTAGCAGAAAATGCTGCTGCCTGCGTCGGCCGTCTAGCAAACGTCAATCCGATGTTTGTCGCTCCGGATTTACCACGCTTTTTGCTTGGATGGACCGATGGTTTGTCGAAAATATCGGATGCTACCGAAAAACGAGATGCTTTCACAGGACTCTGCAGTGCGCTATATGCAAATCCTCAAGCAATCCAACAAGTACAGGCAAGTGCTCCCGATGTGATCACCTCCATCATGTTTGCTATCACTTCATGGCACATACCAGCTGATTTCCCAGATGACATCAATGATTTTTTGAATGGGGACTACCAATTCGTCCCATTCCCCCCAGAGGAAGCTGCCCTTGGAAATCAACTTGCGCAGTTAATTCAAAACATGAAAACCTCAGTTGGAGCAGAGGCATGGAAAGCCGTGAATAGCCGTCTCACTGCCAACTTGCAAAGGTTATTTCGGGAAGTCTACCACGTTTAATTTAGAGTGAACTGAATATTAATCTGAAATCAAGTCTCCCCATTTTGGAATAATATACAACTAGTCTATGTAACAAAAGCTTTAACTTCTACTTCATATCATCGGAAAGAACGCCTCGACTTTGGCTTTGGATAGTGTCTCCCGTGAAGGATCCAGAACAATCTGTTGTGTCATGTACGATTGACCTTTCGATTCCAAAGTCTCTTGTTTTTCAAAACCAAGCCTCTCGTACATTTTTATAGCGGGGTGATTTCCTCCTTCCACATACAATGCCATCTTATCTTTTGCCGAAGACGAAAATGATGCCTTCTTCACATAACTCGTTGCTGAATGAACAAGTTTGGATGCTACTCCACGACGTCTGTAGTTTGTGGATGTTACCACATTCATGAACGTTGGGACACCAGGTTCTTCATCCACCAGACTGCATTCTTCATCAACGGAAGGTAACTCTTTCCTACTGGTTTCAGCCAACACGGGCTCTGACAACATCGCAATCTCGCAAAATCCTACTACTTCTCCTGTGAGAACATTTTCTGCGGTAATCATTTTATGAAATAACCAATCAAAACTTGGTGGGGCGCAATGAAAGATATGATCTTTCCAAATGTGTGGCTCGTGGGAGAGCGACGCCGCCTTTTCCATGCTGTTGCGAAAGGCATCGTTGGACCACAGTAATCGCAGCTGTTCTGCATGTGTCAAATCATCCAATATGCCTTTTCTGCCATGTTCGAGCATCAATTTGCGACCAATTGTGATTGCCTTCATTCTCGATTGCAAGAGGGAAGTCACTTTGGTGCGAGTATTTCGAAACCTGAAGTTCAATGGGGACAGGAGATTCTGTTGCTGGTTTCCATTTACCTCGTCTTCTTGTTCTAATATGGCATAGGTCAACATATTCGCTACTTCCGGAATATCGGCTTCATTTGTTGTCCGTATTCTCAGRTCWAGGTCTATTCTTTCAATTTTTGTTTTGGCTTTTGAGTTTTTCTTTGTAGTCAAACCTCCATTGCCCTCCCATGATGGCGCGGTGATAACCAGCGCGTGGCAAGTGACAAGGAGGAGACAGTAGACGGTGATGGCGAAGTTGACTGTAGCACGCATCGTAGCCGCTCAAAGTAATGTTTTAGTTTCCCCTCGCACAACCACCTTCAGTGTTGTCTTTCGCGATCGGCGACTGTAGGCTCTGAATAATGCCTATGTGTTGTTGCGGTGTCTAGCTGAATCCAAATTCTAGATGTTCTTCTTCGTGTATTTACAACACAATCTGCTCGGCTCGGGTACCAGGTAGTATCCTTCGAGACAGACAACTGTTGTTTTCTGTGTTTTCTTCGGGGATGGATGGAAGAAASACGCAATAAACTCGTGTTTCTATCCTCCGATCTGGAAACCTGACGTGTAAAATTCAACAAATGAACCAATCAATTCCGAAATCATGGATGACATCACGTTTGAAATATTTTCTTACTGTAAGGGGAAACGTAAATGAGTGCTGAAAATGAGCTAAATATTCCCCCGAAAAGMTTCTCTGAGCGAGGGGGGAGAAAGAACTCTTGTCGTGCCGCCTCTCAATCGGTGAAGAAGGAATGAAACGGTCAACATTTTTTGAATTGTCCGATACTGTACAATGCTGTACGAGTAAAGGTACGAACATGATAACCGAAATAAAAAACAATAATACTGATTGTCTTCTCATTTTTAGCTCCTTTGTTTAAATAGATTCTTTCTATCGGTGGACACATTGAAAGTTCTCGGTACTCGTACTCTTATTCATCCAAGCATAATTCGACAACAGCATAGCGACAAACTCCATTCCATTCTTCTGTCCGCTTGTTCGATAACCTCAAGGCGGACTCAACACGCACACGGAAGATATTGCTGTCTTGCGTCGCTCCAGAATTCTTTGAAAGACATGACTCCTTTAAACCCTCGAAGGACACTTGCAATTCTTGCGATACTGCTGCAAGGTGCAGAGTCATATTTTAATCCCAATGTATACGCTCTCCCTAGGTCGCTATCGGGTGAACTCTTTGCGAAAAGTGCAATTTGCTACAACAATGCATACGGTTCGTTTAGAATACGACAGTCTTCACCTATAACTTCGACGTGTACGAAACATACCGGAAGCGATTTCATGAAATTTCCACAACCGACGACATCTACATCCTCATCGCTGGCAGTGATGAATCCAGTGAGGAGAAGAAGCGAGACAGGAAATGGGGGACGAGGAACTTCGCCGGCTTTCCTTAATACATTTCTAAATAACGTCGGCACTCTCACTGAGTCATTAGTTTCAGCAACAATGAAATCTCTTCGAAAGCACTGGTGGTCATTTCCAATGATTATGGCCTTAATTCCACCTTATTGCGTTCTATTCAGRGGATCATATGCTTCGATGCCTCATTGGTGGGGTGTTGTGAACATGGATTATGTTGCTGCTGCGAAGAACGCGAATTTGATCATTGCTCACTTCTTGGGATCCAATATCGCGTATGCGGCAAGTGGCGCCTACGTCCTTCACAAGTTCCACTTCTTTGGACGATCGAAGAGTGGTGGCTTGGAGTTTCGGCTCAGTCGATTCTCAATGTTGGGAATTTGGATTTTGATGGCTGGTATGGTTAGTACAATTTTCCACTCTGTTCAGGCATTGGGATCATATGCTCTCGCAGAAAGCATGTGCTATTTGGATCATGCGGTGGCCGGCTCTGCTACTTTTTATTTCGCTGATACATGTGGTGCTCCATCCAAAACAACCTCAATAATAGGTGCTTTAGCACTCATGAGCCTTGTGATGTCATCGCCTGCGTATGCTTGGATTCATTCTTGTTGGCACTATCTATCAGCGCTGGTAGCAACACGATGGGCCATAGATGGTAGTGCTAGAATGCACTAAATGTCTTCCGAGCCATGATGGGGTAATTAAGAATCAATATACTTTTTATGTTCATACTGATTGATTATCGAATACGTTTTGAATATGTTCGCATGTTGAATAGATAACGCAACATTTTACGGCAATGAATGGGTAAACACGAGAATCGTTCAATTTTTCTTTGATACGCTTGGTCGAACTCCTGATTCTCCGTACTAAGTATTTTTAGCAAGGACCAGTCATCCGCGTTGTGTGCATGGCATTCGACTGGTAATGATTGGCAAATGCGCTACAAAAATATTGAATGAAACTGGTGATGTACGGCAGTGTTGCCCGATTATAGATTATTTCCTCTTTGCTACCGCATGGTACAGATTTACCACAGGTACCTTCGATGAATCTTTCGAGAATTGCYGAACGAATGATATTTTTACATTTAGCAACGCGCGGACACACGCCACGAAACGCCACGCCACGGTACCCCCGTCAAACCCTTGGCCGAATCCATCCGCTCATCCCATGTCGTCCAGGTTGAGCTGGAGCGCACCCGCCGTGTTTCCCGTGTAGTAGTCCTTGGCGAGCTGCTTGCAGATCGGGTAGTCCGGCACGAGGACCGCCCTCCCGAGGGCCATGTTCCCGCAGCGAAACCGGCACAGGAGGACCACTTCTTTTTCCGGATCGTACGATTCCACGGCCTCCTTCAGCGGCGTCCGCATCATGGCCAGCTCGAAGTCGTCCTTGCAGACCTCCGAGTCGAACTCGCCCAGGGTCAGAAAGTGCAGCAAGACGGACCGGACGATCGCCCGGCCGGTGCAGTCCTTGGGGATGTAGGGCGACAGGTCCCGGAGCGTCCGGTCGCTCTGGAGGAAGAGAAAGCCGCTCCCGAGCTCGGCGGTCCGGTGGACGGCGTACGGGCAGACGTAGAATCGTATCCTGGCAAAGAGCTCGTTCCGGATGGCCTTCTTCGTGTCCCCATCGAGGGGGGTCTTCGCCACCCGGGCGTAGGACGGGCACGCCATCTTGTGGCGGCCGGCCTTCCAGTCCCCTGCCTGGCACTCCCTGCTGCAGTAGGCGGCCACGCCGCACCTCGCGCACCGCGAGAGCTTTTCCGCGGGCTTGCCGCAGCCGAAGCACACCGTGGACCGCGGGGGCGTCCCCGTGTAGCCGAGCTCGATTTCCTTGGTCCACCGGACGGTGTTGGGCAGGTTKGCGAGGGGGTTCTCGATGGCCTTTGGTTTGTTGGGTTCGGCGTTTGTTTCGGCCGGGGTTGTTGTCGTCGTCGTTGTCATGCTAGACCGTTGCGGAAGGCTTGTTGTCGAAGGAGTGGAGGTGGTGTATCTGAAACAAGAATTATCTTGTCTACATTCTGTTCGTCTCGTGTCATGGTGAAGGAGGAACTCGTTGAGAATCACGGTAGGTACGAGTATTCGTACCGGTGTGTGAAATCACGAAATCAATAAGTGGACAAGGAGATTTCGCGCCTATTTCAGTCGTGGTCTGTACGTCACTCTACGAACACTGCTGATGTTTACCACGTGAAGACGTCGCCGTTTGAAAAAGTGAAAAACTTCGTTCCAAGCTTCTTTCGGATTTCCGGTACTACTACTACCAAGTGAAACCGACCACACCATGGTGATGATCAGAATAATATTGGTCTCCCATACAGTAAAGTACGAACTGGTTAGCGATTTCTATTGTTATTTCTTTTACTTTTATGATACATATACCAAACACTAGTGAATAGCAGAAATTCAAAACAACACGTGTACACCATGTGCCAAACAAAACAGATCTTCTCCGTCTTCTTCCATCGAAGGAACCGGGATTCCCCCCGAGGTTAGTTTGCGTCGCGGATTGGGGCGGGGTGGAATGGGAGCCACAGCACAGGAATATACGAGCAAAGAACCGAACGGAATCCGTGCTCACGGGCTGCCGTCGTCCTCGTCCAGCTTGAGAAAGGCAGCGGTGGAAAGCGCCGCGAGTCCCGAGAGCGCCGACATGTCCACCTTTTTGTCGAGGCTTGCTGCGTCCGTACCGTGCCGCCGGGCGTGCAGGCCCGATTGCGTCATCGAGGAGGGAGAAATCAGGTTTGGGGATCCGGATCCGCCGGGGGAGGCGCTTCCCGGGTGCTGCTGCTGTCGCTGTTGTTGCTGCTGTTGCTGTTGCTGTTGCTGCTCCCGTTCCCTGCCCACGACGCGCTCGTCCAGGGTCAGGGACTTGCTCACCGCCGAGGAGAGCGTCGCGTCCGCGTGGGCCTCGCCGTGGCGGGGCCGCTTGAGGTCCCGTCGGCGGGAGGGAGAGAGGTCGTCGRTGCCCCGGGCGGAGGCGTTGCCTTCCCTGCGGTGGAGCGCCGTCCTGCGGGAGGGGGCCTCTCGGGGGGCCGGCAGAGGGCAGGCGGCCGCCTCTCTTCGGTAGCGGCCCCCGTGGCCGTAGGCGGACGGCGGGGGATAGGGGGGCAGCGACGGGGACGCGTGCGGCGGCCCGTGGCAAGGGTAGGCGGTCGGCTGCGGGGACGGCGGGTGGGAACCGTGGCGCAGGGGCGAGCGGTGGTGGCCCYGGGACGGGCCGCGGTACGGCACGGGGGAGGGGAGGGACCCCCCGTGCGATGGCGGCGGCGACGCCTGGGAAGGGTGGTGGTCGCGGTCCGCGAGGGACCCGGCATAGGCCTCGCCCCGGTAGGCCTCCCTATCGTCGTGCTCGGGCTCGTATCCGGRGTAGGGGCACCCCTCGTCGGGGGCACGGCCCCGCCAGCCGGATTGGGGGGGTGTCCTYGGATGGGGCCCCCGGTGTCCCTGGTAGTAGTAGTGCGAGTATGCCCGGTAGCGGTCGTGGCTCGGTACGGGAGACGCGGGGTAGGGAGCATGGTGGGATCGCGGCGCGGCGGGGTAGGGCTGGTAGCGGGACGGGGGCGATCCGGGGGGCATCCCGTGGTAGGGCGAGGGTGGATAGGAGTAGTAATACCCGTCGCGGGGTGGATCCGGGCCGTGGTGCCTYCCGGGAGACAGCGAGAGCTGCTGGTTGTGATGGTGGTGGTACCGGGTGTCCCGGTCTCGTTCCTCGGAAAGCGACCGCTTCGGACCAAAGATCTTTGCCAGGTGGGGCGGAATGATCAGCGACGGAGCTTCGGAATTCTTGGAATTCTTGGAGGAACCCTTGGAGGAACCCTTGGAGGAACCCTTGGAGGAACCCTTGGAAGGAGACGACGCGACGGGCGACTCCCCCGCGGTTTGTTTGCCCTCGCTGCTCTCGCTCGCGGTGGAAGTCGAAGTCGCAGCCGAAGCCGCAGCCGCAGCGGTGCCGTTTTTCACCGTGCTGTTGTAGGACTCGACGCTTGCTTCGATCCCTTCGCTTTCCACGGACGGAACCGGCATCTCGTTGGAGTGTTTCTCCCTCAGGGCTGAACGGTGATCGGTGTACAGAAAAGAATCGCAAACCAACAACGAACGAAGGGGAACCATAGGTGAGCAATCGGTAAGCGCGAGCCAAAAGAAGGCACCAACCACTCCCAAACGAACCATGGGCACAACAATCATCTGTAGCACTCACCTTGCGATGTCTTTTCCAGGCTTCGGGGCAGCCCAATGTCGTAGAACAACCCCGTGTCCATGTCCTTGGCCAGGAACCTCCCTCCCGTTTTGTGGACGGCGTCGACGATTTTCCTGGCGACGAGCATCTTTTGCTTCTTGGTGAGTCCGACGTAGACCTGCTTGTTGGCCGCCACCAGCTCCCGAAAGTGTATGTTTCCCAGGTGCCGGTTGCTGGACCCCCCTCGGCCGCAGAGAATGTCGTTGGACCTGGGCTTGGGGACGTCGTTGCACCGCCTCTTCTTTTCGGAGGGAGTCAGGTGCGTCGTGGACRCCACCGACGACCCGACGGCCTCCTCGTCTCTCTTCCGGGGAGAAGCCTCCGGTGCTATTGGAACTCCGGGGGCACTCGGCGGGGGGTAGTAGTGCTGCGGGGGGTGGTGGTACTGCTGGTGTGGGTGCTGCTGGTACTGCTGCTGCTGCTGCTGCTGCTGGTGAGGATGGACGGGATACCGGCCGGGCGACCGCGGATGGGGGTACCGGGGGTGGGGGTACCGGGGGTAGCGATAGGCCTCGARCTCGCGCTCGGTGGCTCCCGCYGCTTCCGTYCCCGGGCGGCGGCGGCCCGCCAGGGGCGTCACGAGGGCCGGCTTGGCCTCGAAGGCCTTCTCGGTCGGCTCGCAGGTCCCGCAGGTCCCCGCCACCGAGGGCTGCCAGCACGCCGCGAAGGGCGAGACGATCCCGTGGACAAAGGTCCGGACCCGCTCCCCGGYTCCCTTTGCGTCGCGGGCGGCCCCGGGGAACGCCGGGGGATGCTTCCGCTGTTGCTGGTCGCTGCCCGGCCGCTCCCCGGCGGTCTGTTCCGGGCTCGCCTCTCCTCCGGGTTTCGGCGGCAGGGGCTCCGGCCTCCCGCACCTCCCGAACCTCTGGATCACGGGCGGGAGGGCAAACCTCGAGCTCATTTCCACCATCGAGGGCTCGATGGATCTTTTCGATCAGCGAATCGGTCGCTCCGTTCTGTGCCGTTTTGATTCGTTTCTGTTCCTTGTTGTTCGTTTCTGTTCCGGTGCGATGCGATTCGATGCGATGCGATTCGACGCAACAACGAATTCTTTGCTTGCGTCGTTGGTTTCCGACTGGCGACTGGCTTGGGAGTGTGTTGCTGGGATGGAACGGAACGATCCTCTCAGACAGCAATGCGCACCTCCKGGGGAAGCAMTCGCACGGCAGGGTATTGATGAAAGCACGAGTTCTACCAACTCGCATCGACGAGGAAATTGTTGTTTCTCGGTCCCCCGGTGGGATTCTGACAGGCTCTCGTTTCGTGGATCGTTTCGATGGAACTCCACCGCACCGCACCGCACCGCCACGGGGTGTGATAGCCGGCCAATACAGAACCGTACTTTACGGGTAACGTAGCTACGTGCCGTACGGTGCAACACACGAAGCCTCCAGTCACACTCCAACACGGGTGTCTCATCCAAGAACGCGTCCGCCGCGGTTGGCACCCATCGGGGTTGAGGTCGCGCAGGGGCCGGAATTCGTTCCGTTCGGGTCGTCCTMGGGGTTCCATTGGTATGGATCCACTGCGGGGAGGATCCATTCCTGCCAAAAAATGCGGCTCCGGCGCGCCAAACCGTGTGTTACTTACGCGGMGCCGCCAAGTCCCGGAAAAATTTAAATCCTAGGTGTCGATGCCACGACCCGTTGCGGGTTTCCAGTTTCCACGGCACGGAGCCATCCGAAAAGGTKGGCATACGTTCGTACAGTACTATGCTACTATGCATATGAATCCGAAAAACGTCAAACGATCTACTAGTACTAGTTTACGACAAAGACACGATTTTGACGACAGCGACCATTAGTTTGCAGCATTCATTTCAATCTTGGAGGTAAGAGGGATGGTGAACTGGTTCTCAATGCTAGTGCCAAAAACAGCAAGTAAGATCTAAGAGATGATGGATAATCTTAGTCGATGGATACGTTGCAAGATGGATGTCAACAGAGAACCTGATCTATTTCTTACGAGTTTAATGAAGCAATCTGTATACTGATGCGAAAGCACGTGCAGAGGGAATAGTATCATAGTCTCCTCTCACGATGGTATAGAATATCAAACCAAACAGTGTTTGTCTATGGGCTCCACTCACAACAGTGTAGAATAACATAAAAGWTCCGCGTTTGTTGTTTTCTTAATCGATCTGTTCGAGACACAACAGTCTGTAGTTCCTCGAGGCGCAAACCACGAAACGCGCAATGTTTTCAAAAATCGAGAATGCTTCCTGCCATTTGCCCTCCTAGTTTTTGCAAATCTGCTTCGATCTGGCTGTCGAGGTTTTCCTCATAGCGCGAAAAGCTGAGGTTGTTGTTGCTATCGTTGCTAAACGGATTCTCTTTGATCCTGCTCCTCGTGGTACCGCCGTTCGCAGATCCACCGTGCGAAGGGACAAGACCCGGAAAGTAACACTCCGCACCAACAMCTTCGTTGTATTGAGGACGAGGAGGCGGGCCAATGGCTGCTTTCGGTGGTTTCAGCACCAACGGCGGTGTATCGAACAGCGTGGGAACGGACAAGTCGTCGTTGTAGCGGTGGCGGGCTTCGTATTTGTTGTCTTCCAAACCAGACAAAACCTGTCCRGTTTGAAAACCGGGGGGAGGGGTCGGTGCCTTGTTGGACTGGGGGGATGCAGTGTAGGAATTCAAAACGGGGTTCGAAGAAAAGGCCGTCATCGTTGTCGGGGATTGGAAGCCCGTGTTCTGACGCGCCGAAGCAAGCGGGGGCGCTTCGTGGACACGGGCTCCGGGATTGTTTGCGGAAGACGCCGCGGCAGAAGGCCGCTCGTTGTTGGCAAATGTTTTCGGAGTTGGACGAGATTTTCTATTCTTTGATCCGTTTCCACTCCCTCCGGGACCGCGGCGACCGTTTCCTTTTTGATATCGTGACTGCTTTTTGTTGCCTGCACCGCCGTTCGAGCTATGGTTGTGATTGTAAGAAGTTTTGCTGTTGCCAACGGAGTTGCTGTTGTTGCCGTGTTTTGGTTTCAGGGCGTCCCATCGACTGGACACCGACGACTCTGCAGACGGACCCTTGTTCTTCCTTCTATTGCCTCGTTCCGCGTGCTTCGGCCTCTCTGTCTCGCCACGTTTTCCCCTTCGCGAAGTGGATCCTGAGCCTTTGTTATTATGGCCTGCTCTACCACCTGGTCGATTGGAGTTTACGCTTACCGAAGGGTATGACCGCACAGATGTAGAACCGCAGGATTGATCGTCAGACATCGGAATTGTATCCTCTGTTGATCCAGACATCATTCGCCTCCGACTTCGTTTGTCCTTCGATTTGTTTGTTGCGGCAGGTGATGAAAAATTCTCGGTCACGGAGGTTGGTTTCATATTGTTTTCATCGCTACTCACGTTCGTAGCGTTGGTTGTCGAAGGAGAAGGGAGGGCAGGTAAGCGAAGCTCGGTTCCTTTTGCATCATTCAATGGCGATGGTGATTCCGTCGATTCATCATTATGAATTACAGAGGGAGGTGTTGACGGCATTAGCGAAGGCATACTTGCTGCTGTTGTTTTTGAATCTTCTAACACCTCTTGAGTTGACGAATCATTCAACAACTCTGGAGTTGAAGAATCTTTCAACACCTCTCGAGTTGACGAATCTTCAACCACCTCGGGAAGCGATGGTGATGGCAATTGCGATGAGTATTTTATCCTGTTCAATCGGTGGTTGTGATGGTGGTGCTGATGCTCCCTTCTGTGACGGCCATTCCCTCCTTTTTTCTTCTTTTTCTTCCTCTCGTTGGTTTGCTTATTATTCTGATTGTTGTTTGAATGGTTGTTGCCTTTTTTGGGAGATAATGTACGAAGGACGACGAAGACCACAAAAAACAGTCCCGCGAGCGTGGCGGAGGCAATTATCGTTGGAAACACGCCGTAATCATTGATGACGAACTCCAAACTCCGACCCAAAGCAGAAAATATGGCATATATTGCGTCTCTATACCAGGTGAGGTGCAGAGCAAAGATAATTGTTCGCGTTTGATTGAGTTTCGATCGAGAATACGCATATTGAATCATAGCGAAAATAGAATGTACCAAGAATTGGCAAGAGAGGGAACATGGTGCCGTGAGAAGTGAAAATCAGCCATTCAAAGCACACTGGTAGACGAACCATCACCGGTAACAAAGGGATTGTTCTGTAGCGAAACCAAGACTCAATGAATTGTGTGTTTCGATAATGCGTTTCTTTCAACGTACCGTAACTTTCCAAGCATTATCCACGTCAATCCATCGGGATGGACCACAAGCGCAAAAACTGTCAACATAGCAAGCCCAGTGAATGCGGGCGGTGGCCAAGCATGAGGATCCGGTTTTCCGCTGACTGCTCCCAGAACCGTTGAAACGTGACTATTCATACATCTCGCTTCCATTGAGGGTTGAATGAGATAAATTTCTAACCACGAAGGAAGTCTTTCACAGATCCACTTGGAAACGTCATCCAGAACTATTATGCGCATCAACTGTCCTACAATTACAGAGCGGATTAGGTTCGCCGGGCCAAACATGCTTCTGCGGGACCAAAGTAGAATCAGCGGCATGTAGAGAGTGGCTACGATATCCCAATAAGAACCCACTACGTTTTCCAATTTGTCATCTTCGCAATCCATTGTTCTACTGCTGTCGCTCGTCCTTTCGAAAGTCTCTTCGCCATCGGCGAACCCATGAGAGATGGTTGTAGCTTGCGGGATTGCGTTATTGGCATCAGAGAAAGGTTGCTCCTGCTTAATATTGTCGCTGCGTCGAAGATTATCAGGTTCTTGGATCAAGACCTGCGTAGATATCGACATTGCCTCTTCCATTGTTGCTGTTATTGGATTTGATGACACCGATGTATTCTACCAGCAGCGAAGAATACAGGCTACAATAATGAAAATGAATGCGAGATTTCTGGCAACGGAACTCGATCGGACGGGGTGGATTGCTTGCTGGTATTGCAATTTGTACCCTGCAAGGAACGAAGGGTTGACAACTGACAACGCAGCTTGCAGTCAAGGCAACGTTGTGTTGCACTTGTAACCAGTTTGCTGGTCGTACCGGTTCCACTTTATATCGCACTTGATCTTGTTCGACAAACTSCGTAGCGAACCGCAGTATCGTAAAATCGAGCCCTCTCAGAACACTAAATGCAGAATCACGGTACTAGTGCATTCTAACCGTAAGTAACAGGTCGTACGGTATGGAGGGTAAGTAATCGAAATCTCGTTGGACAACAAAAAATTCCTACGGCACGAGCACGAATTACCACTGAAAGAATTTTTAAATCTCTTTGGACAACGAGCGGTGCTAGTAGTGCTAGTAGTATTCCCACTAAAAGGAGCGGTGCGTACGTACCCCATGCCGTTCCACACACAAAACTAGGAGTTCTCTTCACCTTCAACAACATCACAGCAAACAGGATTGGTTCGCATGGCATCGACCAATGCGCGCATCAAGAAAACGCGCGAGAATTRAAGTACCTTTTTGTATTGTTCTTGCGACGATCATTCTTCTTCTGTTCCCTGACGTCGTAGGTAGACGACTTTATCCAAGCAATTCAAACCACATCAGTGTTAGGATTCCTCGCAGAAATTGGGCCATAGTGTCAAACGGATATGTAATTAATTAACGGTCAACAATTGTTCAAATCTCTTGCACTTTCTTGCAAGCAGCTGTGTGTCCTGGCGAAGGAACTGCATCACACAAAAAATAAAAATACTACTGATACTACTGTACATACTCGTACTTTCCGTACGAAGTTGCTACAGAACGGTATTTCATGCTGCTGTGAAATACCGATGGTCACCACTATCGTACCGTGCCGTACGTCTGCTCCTTCCTGAAAAGAAAAACTTCTTGAACTTTCAGAATGTAATGATTTCTGATTTATTGTGAAATTAAATCTTCTTTCATTCTGAATGAAGAAAYTGTATTAGTAGTASTACTACTAGTAGTAATACTACTAGCTGATGAGAGATAGMTTCTTGTTTCCCAGCAGCACCAASARCWSMTMRTWSYTYCTTCTTMTTRTTRYTACTACTASTASTASTASTASTAGTAGTACCTAGTATTCTTCTTCCTACTACTAGTAGTACAAATAAAAATGCTACTACTAGTACTAGTATTAGTAGTATTCTTTGCTATGCTGCTAGTACTACTAGTAGTCGCAATACTAGTGTGGTAGTAGTCTTGGTACAAACTACTACTAACTTGGATGAAGTAAAGTACTTGATGTTGTTGTAATAGTTTCTCCAAGATTTTGCTGGTGGTGACAGCACCACTACCATCCTTGTTCTTATTTCAAGTAGTAATACTACTAGCCTAGTAGCACTAGTAGTAGTAGTAGTACCGGCACGAGGCAGCCATCACTCGCCACATCATTGATGGCTCCAGCAGCAAGATTTGTATCCTCCTCATAGTAGTACTAATCTTCCAGGTAATAGTAGTGGCAGGTTCTGTTCATTAGCAAACAACAAGAATCTTGAAGGTAGAATTGAAAAGTTCAGCTAGAGCCGGAAAATGCGAGGGAGGATGTCGCGAAATTGACAATCATTGAGTTGCATCGGTCCGACGAGGAAAGGAACCGAAAACTGATAGTCTGTGACGGGCCAAGGAAGTATTTGGAAGATTGTGTATCTACAAAAGTAGACCAGTTGGGTGGAGGAGTGCATTCGAGTGAAGGATCTCGGAACACGTGCACAATCCGCATCGACTTGGTTCCGATTCGCTAGGGTGTATACGCCGTTGATGCCCCAAGAATTTCTCCGAACCAGCACACCGGGACCAAAACACAAGAGTCCAGCGCCGCTGGAATGCGGTTGTTCCGCAAACCAGCACCCGTTCCTTCCTCAGTCGTATCCGTATTCTTTCGACAGGGCGTGCGCGATGGAGGCGTAGCGCTCGTCGACCGCATAGAGCTCCTCCCAGCTGAGGGTCGGCCGGTGTTTCCGCGTGTTGGCCCTCGGGTCGGCTTCCTTCAGGGCCCGCTCGACGGCCTTGTCGCTCGGTGGCCCGAGGCCCGCTGCCGAAAAGATTCGGTCGACGATCGGCCCGGACACCGAGCGGTCCGGGGACATGAGGTCCTCGACGCGGTAGTGCCAGTCGGCGATTTCCCGGACAAAGAGCTGCCACTCGACCCACATCTGCAACCCCATGTAGAGGACGGACCGGGTCGTGTCGAGCGGGACGTGTGCCCCTACAAAGGACTTGTAGAGGGAGTGGCTCCAACGGCCCCTCCGGGGCGTCGTTCCGAGGGGCGTCGTGAACGCGAGGCTCGTGATGGATTTCCGGACGTGCCGCCTCTGGTGGAGGACCGTCTCGAAGCCGCTGCCGCGGAGCCGGACGTTCCCGTAGTAGTCGTCGGTGGGCGAGTGCACGCAGTGGATCCACGAGACCATGCCAAAGGCGGTGGGGGGGTGGGCGTCGTCCGACAGCGGGAGGCCCAGCTCCCGCAGGAACCGGGTGGTCCCGACGGTTCCGGAGCGCGGCGTGGCCGTGATGAGAAGCGGAAGGGTCCGATCAAAGACCCACCCGCGTTCCGGGGAGTGCTTGGTGCTCCTGGCGAGGCGCCCGGGGTTCCCCGTCGCCGTCGGTGTTGTGGTGGTTGTTCCCGGTGGGCGGTCCGCCTCTGTTCCGAAGCACGCAGCATCTGTAGCCTCGCCCGATTTTTTCTCTTCCACGCAACGGATCGGAGGGGTCTCGGTTTCGGGAAGCGAGGGGCTGCAGGTCATGGCTAGCTTCTCCGGTGGGTGCGGCTGGTGTTCACCACTGGCGGAGTGGTAATGATTGTTGGCATTCGCAGTTTGTGGTTTGTTTGAGAATGTTCTTCGCCATCATCTCGTTTCTCGATTTGGTTTTGTTGGTTGTCTTGTCGCAGCAGCTGACGTCATCGTACCTATTTATACATTCGAACATACGATAGTACGGAAGTACTGTACTAATCAATGAGCGGTTTCGCTCGCATTCGTGTTTGCGTTATGTACTGTATGTCTCGTACGAGAGTATTCCGTTCCGTAAAAAAGTACCGGTACGTACGTATGCGTACGTACGAAGACCTTTCTGAGAAATCAAAAGTTTGAATTTGTCGAAAATTCTTGTGCTCTGCCCTCGACATCCATGCCATCTGTTCCGTGTTGCAGCGACGTTGTCCACGTTGCAAGCCGTACCAGTACCCGTATTCGTGCTCGTTCTCGGTTCTTGCTACGGTACGAGTCGACCTGACCGACACCAATGCAGGATTGCACCTGCACACTGCGAAGCACAACCGCGAGTACTGGCACTCTTACTCGTACTAGTGATAGTAATACAAAGCTGTGGCAAACCGGCACCCCCAAGAATCCCTCCTACCGCAACCGCTGCCATGTCGTCCATGTTCTCCGCACTGCTGGAAGGCTTCCCGGAGAAGATCGAGAGCCTCGGCCCGCTCGAGAAGAACATCCTGGTGGCGTCGGCCATGGTGGTCTACTACAAGATCGCCATCGAAGCGGCCTGCTACCTGCGCCTGAACTGGATGGACCGGCACCCCGAGGTTCCCACGGGTCTCTCCCGGAAYGTCCTCCAGATTTCCTTCTCGTTCGTCCTTCTCTTCTGGCCCCACTTCGACACCTCGGACGGCTGGTCGTGGAAGCTAGCGGCTCTGCTGCCGGCGGTGGTCTCTGGCCGGCTGGTCTACAAGGGCATCTTTGTCCGGGACGCCAGCGACGCGGACGTCCAGAACATGAGCCTGTCGGGGTCCCCGGCCGACCTGCTCTTCGGGCCCCTGCAGCTGGCGGGGATCTTTGTGTGGCTGACGCTCTACCAGTTCATGACCGAGGAGGCGGCGGTCGTTGCCGCCGTCAGCTTCGGGGACGGCTGCGCCCCCCTKGTGGGATCCCTCTACGGCCGGCATTTTTACAAGACGCCGGTCTCCAAAACCAAGACGGTCGAGGGGAGCGTCGTGGGGGTCTTTCTGGGGACGGTCACCGCCTGCTACTTCAACCTCTACGCCATGGGGCTGCCGCTGCTCCCGCTGCGGATGATCCTGGCCTACGGGGGGATCGCCGCCGTCGCGGAGGGGACGGCCCCGGGGAACCTGGACAACCTGGTGGCGCCGATCGTTCTGCACTTTAGCGTCGAGCGGGTCAAGGAGCTGCTGCCGCCGTGAACCGACGGGCCCAAGACAACGGAAACGGCCCATCGATGAAAATCGTCGGTGGGGGGGGGGGCGATCCGCCCCAGCAAAAGACCTCTCGATKGGCGGTGCCTTTTTTTGGAACGGGGTCTTCCACAGTGTTGGATGCGTGCGTGCGTGCGTGCGATCGTGCACCAGATTTATGCATTCTGCACGCTGGTTGAGAACCATTGCACTCTCAACAGAAAGGAAGGAACGCACAAAACCAACGGCATTGCCGTACAACAGAAATACAATTTTGGGTGCGACGCAACAAGGGAATCCACCATTCGAGAGTGMAGAATTTGGAAGGAATCAACCTTCGGAGTGCAGCAGCCACGAAGCATTTTTTTTGTACAAGTACACTGCGACACGCAAGAGCGAGGCATGCTCTGTTCTTCCTAGCAGGCAGCAATGGAAACTCCCACATTTTTTCTCGCGTCGTCACGCAAATTTCAGTGGCTCTATCGTCTTCATCTGCACCGCTGCACGGAGCGCCTAGGCGTGTCGACGCAGTCAATAGAGTAGTTCGTCAATAGAGTAGTTTTAAGGACTGGTTTGAAAAAATAAAAAGTTTGTAACATTTTGTTTTGTTTTATACTTTAATCGCACAGCAGTGCGATCCTAGCTTCGTTCTCTCGATRCAAGACAAGAGACAAGCCTTCCTCCTTTTCGCACTCGACGGGCGTCACCGGCCCTTGCCACCGCCGTTTCGTTTCTGTTGTTGTTGTTGTTGCTGCTGCTGCTGTTGCTGTTGTTGCTGCTCCCTGGCCCGTCGCTCCGCCGCCGCCCAGGCCAGCTCCMTCGCCGACGACAAAGCACCGGAGGTCGCCCCGCCCAGGCGGTTCCCCCCCGCGCGGTCGAGCGCCAGGGTCTCCTCCTCCAGCTCCGCGATCCGCTGCCGGAGGGGCCCCTCGATGGCCCCCGGGTGCAGGCCGTGCTGCGCCATTTCCCGGACCAGCTCGGCGGTGATGCTCCCAAAGACGTCCCCCAGCTCCCGGTCGTCCAGGCCCGCCAGCTCGGCCGTTTTCTTCCCGCGGACCACCACCGCCGATCGGCGCAGCCGGGCGTGGGTGGCGAGGTACTCGGCCCGCATCTGCGCGTAGTTCGTCCAGAACAGGAGGTTGTGGTCGCCGACCCAGTTGTGGGAGAGCTCGTGGATCAGCGTCTTGACCAGCTCCGGGTAGGGCCGGAAGCCCGAGAGATCGTCCGTCCGCAGCTTGAGGTCGATCCGGAGGCCGCGGTTGGTGTTGTAGCCCAGCAGGCAGCCCCCGTGCTCCTCTGTTTTCTGCATGATGCGGTCGTCGATGGGGTCCATCTCGCCCAGGGTACCGACCACCAGCTCGCGCTCCCTCATGATGGCCACCACCCCCGGATCGGTCGCCATCTTTTCCAGCAGCTCCATGGCCTGGAAGGCGTGCGGCGTTTTCTCGGTCGACCTGTGGCCGAAGGAATGGTCCGTGCAGGCCTTCATGCGGACAAACTTGTAGTCCCTGTCTTGGACCATGGAATCCGCCCAGTGCCTGCTCGATGCGCTCGCCGCCTTTCGTCGATCGATGGCATCCCTTTCTTGGTCGAACCCGCGGATGGTGGGATCGGATCGCTTCGTCGCCAGTTCCTCGATGGCGGAGGTGTTCGTTGCGATCACCATGATCTTTGGCGKTTTCTTGTTCTTGGATGCGGAAAGACCCGCAAAGGGGATTGTCTCTGCCTGCGGCGTGATTCGTTTGCCCTTGAARAGRAGCTTYAGGAGCTCCGTCGGGGAGCCATCCGGATCGGTGGCGGTCGCAACGCCGAACACGGCTTCCAGCGTTCGCCGATGAAGCTCGAGCCCGGTGGTTGCGGCGGAGACCCGAATCGTCCTGGATTTTCCCTGGTGGGTCAGGTTGACCTCGAAGGAACCTTCGCCGTTGTTCGCAGAGCAAGGGCAAGACGTTTCCATTTTTTTGTTCCGATCGTTGTTGTGTTTGCGGCCGTGAGTTGTGGTGTTGGGAATTGTTTCTCGTTGATTTGGSTGCGTTCGGATGTAAATAATGAACAGCGTGAATGAGCTATCAGAAATATGGTGCACTCGAACGAAATGGAGAGAATTCAATTGAACAAATCGTTTTCGATGAAGTTCGGCGTTCTCGGCGTTATTTCGTTGGGTGCACCGAGTCGTGACTCACTCACTGAATGCAGTTTTACTGTGTTATCGTACATACCGTACGGTAAGTACGAGTACCAACCATGAAGAAGAAGCAGTGATGGGAAGGCTACCCTACGCTACGTAGCTGTTTCTACCGGTACGTACGTTCAGTACAATACCGTACCGTAATGTACGTGCTGTAGACGAAAGTTATGAACGTAGAGTTCCGTATGTACTTCATAAGGTACTAGTGTATGTATGATACAGTACTCCAAGTCGTAGGGTAAACAACAGCAAACGGATTTTCAAAAAGCGACTGAAAGGACGGCGATGCGAGAGAGGCTCGACAGACAACACTTTTTTCCAAAACAGACGAAGCCAGAGCAACACCAACCACATTGCCGCTATTCGATATTCGATCCGGTCACCATCGGTCCATGCATCCATCCATTGGCTAGGCTCAGACAGCTACACGACCGCGCCACAGCCGTCCCCATGGCCCGAAAAAGCAAGCAACCCGGCGGGCACAACCCTCTGACGGCCCACGAACGAAAGAAATACGCCAAGGACGTCTACGGGACCACCACGGCCCGCCTCGGCCGGGATTCCCAGTACTCCCTGGGCGACTGCGGCCTCTCCCTCCACCCGGCGAGGGACCAYCCGGTGGCCTCMCCMTCGGGATACATCTACGAGCGGTCGGCGATGCTGGAGTACCTCCTRGCCAAGACACGGGAACTGAAGCAGCGCCGGGAAGAACACGACCGGGCCCTCGCGCTGAGGGCGGAGGGATCGGAGCGCAGGGAGGAGCAACACCGCAGGGACCGGGTCGAGGACTTTGAGCGGACGCAGAAAGTCGCGAGTGCCAAGAGGCAAAAGTTGGAGGAAAACGTGCTGAAACGTACCAGCTACTGGCTGGCCGACATGCAGCCGAGCAAGAACGATCACGACGGCGACGAAGCAAACCCAACCGCGCCGCTTCCGAAGCGGCCGCCCTCCCCCAACACCCAGCGGCCGCTGCGCCGAAAGGACCTGATCGAGCTCTGCCTTTTGCGGAAACACAGCAACAAAAACAAGAGCGACGACGGGAACAATCCCAGGGGCGACCCGGTCCTCTGCGCGATATCCGAAAAGGAAATCACGACGCAGCAGGCCCTGGCCCTGGTCACCACCCGGGGGAGCAGCGGCGACGAAGCCCACCCCGCCCAGGTGGTCCTGGAAAGCGTGTACAGGGACCTGAAGATCGAGGACGAAAAAACGCCGGTCTGCCCCGTGACGGGCCGGAAACTCCGAAAGGTCCTGAAGCTCCAGCGGGGCGGGAGCTCGTTTGCTTCGGAAGACGGCCGGGCCGTGGAAGCAAAGCAATACCGGCCGACGATGACATAGCGCCGAACAAACCCGAGCGTGGCAAGCGCCAAATGGTGTTTGCCTGGGTGGCGGGAAAGCAACGACAAAACTAGAACCGGCGTGTGGGTATTGCGCAGCCTGGTTTTGTAGCTATGGAATGGTGCCAGGATTGATGGCAAGGAAATGCTCGGTTCCGGTCATATCCGTCACCATCGCGTCGCYGTCCCTTACATATTATCCGTGGTGTCCATTGTTCATTCGATGCTTTTGGATTAATCCTAGAATACAGTAAGCCATTACAAGTATATATTTTTTGCAAACTATCGTCGCTGTGTGCCGTACCGTATCGCTTCTATGCGGCGAGTGGGTTCTGAGCTGCTTGGTTGTGTCTCAGAGGATCGGAGCTTCGGTGTATTTCTGTGCCGTTGCGTTCCAGTTCCTTTGTTCGAGGGCATCGGTTTGAATGGATTCGTTCTACGACGGTTACTCTAGTTATGTTTGGCGCGGACGACGGACAGGTTGAATCTGGGGGTACCGTACGTAGCTACGAATGCTAACCTACTAGTGTAGTAAAGTACTGTAAGTTCTGCGTTCATCTTTGTTCCCGCATCTTTGGTTCGGCATTTTGTGGATCTTCTTTTTCATTTCATTGCACCAAGAAAGGAACGAGTGGAATCCTCCCAATCCTTTGAGAAACTTTTGTTTTCGAGATCCAACACCATCCGCCCCCTCTGTCGTTTGCTCTCAAAAGATAGTGTCGCAGATCCGACCAGCAAGCTCGAGACCTTTGCTGTCTCCACTGCCCAAGAACAAATTACAACAMGGGTGCTGCATGGATACCCGAACGGAGGCAAGAAATGCACAGATGCATGCGTACTAGCAAATCGAACGGACAGGGCGTCGCGTTGCATTACATTGCGTTACGATACGATACGATACACAGACATCGTTCCGTAGGAGGGTGTGCCGGTGTAATCTAGATAGGGTGCGATAGAACCACCATAGGAATTGGTCGGTTTGGATCAACTTTCTGTATCCCATTCCGGCATGCATTTCCGTCGCCCACACCAGCAACGAGTATCGATCCATCGTTCGGCGCTCGCCGTTGGCGCAGAGAACGACGAAAACGGAAAAGGACGCGAGAACGGTAAACCAAGAAAGGGGCCGCTGGGYAGTGTCGGGTGTCGCAAACGGTTGTGGAACGCCGTTGGCATCGTGGGGATTTGTGCGTGCGTCGATGTTTTTGCTTACGTTTTGTTCCAGCAGGGTGTGCACCGCGTGGGGGGGTTGTTGCAAGATCCAGTTTTTTCGTATCCTTCGTTCGTGGCTTCCATGGTTGTCACCGGCAAGAGCGATTCWGTGGACAGGGCGCCRTCGCACACCCWCACAAACGAATATGGACGGGGCAGAACAAGCGGAGAACGACGCAAGCCTCTTGCGAATCGCTGGACGGCAGAAGAGAAACTTAWGGTAGCGGGAATGAAGAGAGATTTCGAAACATTGAACTCTACCGGAAAGCTTTTGCCTTGCAGACTCGACGAAGGCAATGCATGCTTTGATGACTCTGCTCGCCACCGAGTATTGCTGTACAACCCACTGGCAGAAGGTACGAGATGCGAAAAGCCGAGAGTGGTTTGTTTCAGTGAATGAACAGCGAACTTGACTCCGCACCTCTATTGTCCGCTACTGAAAAAGATTTGTATGTGATGTTTTYTCTCTATCCATTTGTCCATCAATTYWKAAATCSATTTGTCGATCGATGGATCATAAAGATCGGTTCTGGTGCGGGAAACGCATTATCAGAGGTGGGGGTACTTTGGAAGTTAGGGAGTTTCCTCGTGACTGTAGGGACAAGAAAAACAGGATTTCGCTGCCCTATGTCTATTCCAGAGGACCGCCTGTAATACCGAGGGAGGGCAGCCCTACTGATGATATACAGGCAATAGAACTCTCGTGGAATACGGATTCGACCTTCGACGACTATGCGAAACTACTGCAGTGTTCTATCCCATGTAGAACAAACGACCCCGAACACCAAAACGTGCATACGATATATGCCCGGAGCGGCTTCCAAAGCGTTAACACAATATACATCCGGAATACCAACTTGGAAATCAAGCATTCCATGGAGGGTGAGCAAATCTACCCAGAAGTTCAYATTCGAGCTGCTGCTTACAGGGAAAACATATTTTACGCGACTACCTCTTTTCGGTCAGAGATTCCGGTACCCTTCTTTTCGTGGAACGAATACGACATTCGGCATACCGCCGTTGATTTTGAAACTGCTATCAAAGGTGCTTCGTTCCTTGCCGCCAACTGCGAATCTAGCAACAAGCGAGAACAACTGGTGGAAGCATTGATCCATTCAAGATTGCGGGTCGATTCTCTTTCGTCGTGTTTGAGAAACGCTAAGGCACCTCCAGGTGTCGACATGCGCAACAAGACCGCCATCATGGAATTGTATTTATTTCATTTGGCCTTTGAAAACCAGAACGCGGACGACTACATCACAGAAAAACTATGGGGCTCGCTAGCGGCTGGGACTCTTCCGGTATATTTTGGTGCAAGGAACGTAAAAGACCACGTCCCGGATAACTCTATCATCGTTGCAGAAGACTTCAAAACGTACMAAGAGCTCTCGGAGTATCTTATTCGATTAACAAACGACAAAGAACTCTACGAAAGCTACCACACGTGGCGTTCTCAACCCTTTGACGACGCTTTTAGGAGCAAGTATGGCTTTACCAAAACGCATTCCAGTTGTCGAATATGCAAATGGGCATTTGCAGAGCGACACGGACTGGCTTGGAATCATAAGAAACAAACGGTGACTGAGCCCTACATCGATCACAAAACCTGTCGAAACAAGGTGGGCTTGATCGGACATCCGTTCAAAGAGTACTGGTTTTCTTCATCGAAAGGAAGTTCCAAAGCCGATGCACCCATCGCCTCTACGCATGCTATGAAAACTTGCACTCTGGACAGTGATAACAGGATTATTGAAATCGACCACGGAGCCATTCGCCGAAAAGTATTCGATGGCGACGGCGTCACCGATCTCATCATCGATGTTGCGAAACGAAAGAGTCACGATCCTACTAGCATGGGCAATAACAATGCCGAWTCGTACATTCTTCGGTTGGAGATGCCACTCAATACYGCTGGTGCGAATCAAGRACCTTTTGCTTTGAAYGATTCGGTTTGGTGGTTCCAAGACGATCRATCTAGATTTTACGTCATGGTTCATTCAAGCAACGCCGATTCCCGGCTTTCCGTCAACAAATCAGGAATGGCTGATATCAAGATACGGCCATCGCTAGAAAGTAGCACCACCACAGGCCGCATTGCCACAACCACAAGGGTTCGGGTACTAGTAGAAAATGTGGATCACTTCCATGCAAAGACAAAGAAAACCGCTAGTTTATTTGGGGACGTGATGATGAGGGATTTTTTCGAACCCGTCCAAAGCTTTAAGATATTTGATTGAAATGTTTTGCTTGCGCATACTAGTGGTACTAGTATTGTAGTAATAGCGTAGTAGTAGTAGTAGTAGTAGTAGTAGTAGTAGTAGTAGTAGTAGTAGTAGATGCATTAATGATTCTGGATTGAAATGCTTTGCTTCCGCTTCGTAGTAGTAGTAGTGTTGTACTTTCACCAGGCATGGTGTTATTATTCTAAAGGAGTTACTACTTGTTTTGTCATTTTTCGGTATATTCTTGTACAGTGGATTTCTTAGCAAATGAAGTACATAGAAAGCTGTTCCCAGATGCAAAGGCTCGTTACATCATTTATACTGCTGCTCCTCTGCTTGTTGTTGCTGGTGCTGCTGATCATACTAATCAACACATTCCAACTTCACTTCAARGCCTCTGGAGCATCCTGCTACTAGCACCAGCTTTATTGGCAGGCTGCGCACAGATTCGAAATGGTTGACCAGGGGAGTAGACACAAAGATGCAATTGGAACGCTACTAAYAACAGTTTAAACACACAGGAATGCTTCAACAGCGACAGATTTTAGAAGCTCTTGAAGCTGGTTATACGGACCGTACGTTGTAGCAATAGTAATGGTCATAAAAGAATTTATTCCCTGATAGGGATAGGAATAGATAAATTTTTTATGACCTTCCAACTGGTGTTTTTCCCAACAACGATGACCTCTTCTCGTAACGGAACGAAAATTCGACGACGTGAATGAAACTCACACAAAGTCCAATAAAWAATCCCTACCTACTCGTACGCAATCCCACGTACACTGGATTGTGATTTTTGGAGGGGAACGGGTCTTTTATACTTCGGTACAACGCAACCCATCCACACGGCATCAGTGATCGGACATCTTTTCTCTATTGTCGAAGAATCTGCGCCATAAGTGTTAACAAAACAATAGAAAAGCTCGAAACTATCGGAGCGAAAATCCATCCATCATGGTGAAAATTACGCGTGTGAATCACAGAGGTAGAGGTTCACCACGGAAGGGCGGTGTGAGATCGGCGAACTCTGCGTTCACGTTGCGCAGGGCGATCGTATTGCTAGTGGTGATACAAGGGGCACGGGTATTGATGAGCGGAAACACCGTCAGTGACTCTAGCGCAGTGCCCCACCTTCCCAAGAGTTTAGAACAACAGCTCGCGGATTCTAAATCCAGTGGGAGTGGGGGGCGTGTTCGGGGAACGAAAACTGTTCCCAAGAACGAAGAACCAAAGGAAACGCCTGCCACAGAACCTCCGAAACAGGATGATAACGCTAACCCC